AGGCAGAGAACAGCTTTAGGATTGTTCGCACTTTTGTGTCCTCTTCTGTTTTGTGTGTGCGCAATTGAGCAGGGGAATGCATAGCTGTTTGTGCCTTTTTATGGCATAATGAAAGCTTCCCTCTGTGACTTCTTGAAAACTTCTGTAATTGTGGTGCATTTATGTCCTGTGAATGTATTAATGTATATGGATGAATGTTGTGGAGGACTGAAAATCTAGGCTTCCTAGATGTAAGGTCAGTGAACTGATCCACCTAGTTTTGTATTGTGCAATAGTAGTCCAAAGTAATGGCTAGGAACTATTTTTCTTTATTAAAAAACACACACCCTGAAATTCTCAGCTACCCATATTCTGTTCCAGATGCAATTTCCCATTCCACCCTCCTGGCATCCTTACCAAGCTGACAGCCCTGGCCATCATTCTTAGCTCTCCATCTCCATCCTTAAGTGTAGATTCATCTTCACCCCTTCATTCTGAGGGGCATTAATCATAAGGGTTTTTATTGCTTTGCATCTGGCATGAGGGAATCTGCGCAAGTAGGGGAGAAAGGTCATATATGTGGACTGGCAGGTGCAGATGAGCCCTGCCTCCAGCTTTCCTTGTGCCCCGTAGCCAGGAAACCTGGCAGCAGCTAACATTGGATGGGGCTTCTGCAGTCATAACACAGCACCATAACAAAGGTCGCAGCTGCTCAGCATACTAAATTGTTGTATTGGCCATGGTGCGTAGGCAGATGCCTTGATCCAAGAGAAAAGGGAAAATGGACACTGGTACCCATAATTGCCCACAACTTTTGCCATATTAAAGCATCCCTGTGTTAGATTTTCCCCTTCAAACCACCCCTCTTCTAATGAAACCCTTTCCTGGTAAGCACAGTCAGTTGAATCTGACATTCTGCTTTGGCTCTCTTGGGGGAAATCATTTATGAAAGCATATCCCCCCCCAACTGTTGCAACCCACTTGTTTGGCCATGTTCATGGAAAAATCTCTGTCCAGAAGCCATGCCAATCCAGTGGGAAGAGCCTCTAGGTCCCTGAGAGGAGGGGAAGCAGGATGTTGGATGTGGGGAGAAAGGAGAGTGCTTTAAAAGCTTCATTCCCCAAAGGAGCTTACATTCACAAGGGTTGGGAAGAGCTTGGGCCTCTAAAACAGTGGCATGCACACTGGAGCTTGTAGACCATGGCAGGGTGGAGATGGATTATATGGGCTACTACAGTGAATACTGCCACTTTCTACTTTAGGCAGCGAGGGGAGGGGAGAGAGAGAGAGAATCTATGCTACATCTTCAAAGTTGGTCTGAAAGAGTCAGGAAATTATGGAAAAGGGATTCCAAGGTTTCACAGAAGCACCAGGCTAAGCAAAGGTGGGGAACCTGTGACCATCCAGATGTTGTTGGACTCCAACTCCCATCAGCCCCAGCAAGCCCAGTCAATGGTCAGGGCTGCTTGAGGTTGTAGTCCAACAACATCATGTTCCCCCCTCACTCGAAATAAAGAAATGTATAGGACCTTTCTTCTCCAGGGGTTCAGATTTTGATGTGTCCCTTGAGAAGTACTGACTGAAATCTGTTCTCCTGTTCTGCAGCTCTTAGACCAAGTATACAAAAGTTACTAGTCTGATTTTTAAGAAACTGTCCAGCTGGAGCTGGGAGCTGGCAGAGGACCAGCCCACTCCATTTCTCTGCAGGGCACAGAGGAGGCAACCTCCCTCCTCTGGCCGCTTCGTTTCTGTGCTGAGCACAGAGAGACAGGGCACCCTGTCCCTTCTCTGCCAGCCAGCTTACCCTTGTCTCCTGAGGCTACCGGGAAAATACTCAAATGGTTAAGTCTTGAGTATGTGTCTGGTGATTGCTTCCCAGCCCTGTTTGGAGATGTTAAGAATTGAACCCAGAATCTTGTGCATGGGAATCATGTGTTCCACCACGGAGCTACAACCTTCCCCCTTAAGATTGTGTTGCATCACATTTTTCTGGGCAGGAAGCAGGGTCTGTCTCATGCTACAAACTGTTTGCCATTTGTACTAATTTTTGCTTTGATTATGTAAAATACAGTTTCATTATGATCAGAATTTTTGTTTGTAGTACTGCCATTTTTCGCTTTATGCATTGTTAGGTATTTTATTACGGTAAGCCGCCTTGAGTTTTCATTTTCAAAGCCAGTGTATATGCTTCTAAAGCAAGTGTGCTACTGAGTAAATACATAAAACAGCCACACAAAACTGACTGGTGTAGGGAAGCCTCAGGATATAGTTCAGCCTGGGAGCTTTCTCTTTAATCTGTTTTGATATTGGACTATGAAAGAGAGAGAGGGGGGGGGAGGGAGCGAGAAGCTGCCCTTGTCCCTTAAGGCAAGTGTGAAACAGTTTGTGGGCTGGTCGAAGTCGCTTCATGTCCCTGTTCATAAAGTGTCTCAAGAGCTGGAGGGAGGGAGGGCGCGACAGCTGCAGTGGAGATCCAGGAACAGGTGATGGATGCAAATGTTGTGGTCCGAGAGGCGCATGGTTTCTGAGGAGTGCGCTGCTGCTGCTGCTGCTGCCTCTCCTTGCTGGAGGAAGGGATTGAAAGGTCTCCCCCTCTGCTCACCACCTTCCCTCCACCCTTCTCACTCCCCACAAAACTGCCTGTGGTGGAATTTGATTTCATTTTCCCTTTTAACTAATTGGCGTTTTCATTAAGCCCCTTAATGTCGTGGGGAGGGGGAGGGGTGGGATGCTCAAGGTCACTGAGGCACAGTGCGTAATGGAAAAGAGGCAGGCAGCCTTAGCCAGCTCAGCAGAAATCTGGTCCCCCAGCGCTTTTTATCCCTCTTTGTTTCGTTCATTGGTGCTTTCTCCTATATATCATCCCTATGCTGGCAGACCCTCTCAAGTCCCAGAAGCAATCCTGGTTTCTGATTTGATCCCAGAATGTCCTGCTTTTCCTTAGGACACCCATATTTTCATTGGGGAAATGTTGGAGGGTATGGAGTTATGCGACCCCCCAACCAAGGAGATAAGTAACTATACAACCTTTGGGAGACCTCTGAAGGCAGCCCAGTATAGGGAAGTTTTTTTAATACTTTGTTTATGTTTTTGTATATGTTGGAAGCCACCCACAGTGCCTGGGGCAACCCAGTCAGAAGGGAGGGGCATAATAATAATAATAATAATAATAATAATAATAATAATAGATGTTCCTATTTTCATCTGGGAAATGTTGGAGGGTATATGCTGGTGCAGCCACCCCCTGCACTTATGCCCAAATCACCCTATTCTTTTTCCAATGCTTGTTCAACCCACTTTTTGTTGCAGTAGCAAACTGTTCCCTGAATTACTGCAAAAGACTGTCAGCTTTCCTTCACTTTCTGCACCCAATCAAACCTCCCATGCTTTTATTCTAGGCTGCCTGTCCTTCATATAGCATGCCTGTTTTATTATTATTAATATTATTATTATTAGCATTATTATTAACATATTATTATTATTATTACTACTACTACCTCGCCTTCACCCTAAAGCTCCAGTACAGGTTACAGCAATTAAAACACAATGTTAAAAACAGTTTAAAACAACTCACAAACAGAAGGAAGTCAGCACCATCAGCACACAAATCATCATAAAGGCACAATAAAAAGGATGTCTGGATGGGCTCTTAGATTGCACAAGCCCTCTGTGAAAATTACAGGCCCTTAGTCTGGGGCTTTATTGGCCTGTTTGATCAATCTGGCCCTAGTCAAAAAGGCCTCTGTTTCCGTTGTTAGAGAGAAAAATAATCAAGTTCATGGCTAGTTATAGACAGAAACTGTGAGCTCTATGTGAATCACCAAAATGGAGCTCAGAGACCACCAGGGCTCTATGGACCACAGTTTGAGAACCTTTGGGTCTCTACACTGAGTGGCAGCAGTCCTCTAAAGCAGGGGTTGTCAACTGGTCCCTATCGCCTACTAGTGGGCGTTTCAGGATTCTAGATGGGCGGTAGGGGTTCTACGGCACAAGCTGAATCCTCCTTCCATCGAGCACTGGTGGGCGGTAAGGAAATTTTACCATCAAGAAAGATGCATTAGTGGACGGTAGGTCTAAAAAGGTTGACTACCCCTGCTCCAGGGTCTCAGACACTGGTCTTTCTCTGTGTTGTGTGACCTGCATGTGGGATAATGTATGCTGCATGTGTGGCTTTGCATATGCCGTGAGTGTGTAGGAGTGGTGCATATCTCTTGTGTTCATGCATAAATGAGCACAATCACTTTGGCCATGACCACTCATGCGCCTGTGGCCCCTGGAGGGCTGCCCGGCCTGAAGGTGGCCCTCAAACTGAAATTGGTTAACCACCTCTGTGTGGAGTCAAGGATAGCTCATGAGACAACCAGACAACGAAACCAGTGGCGGGAACAATGAAGAAGATGGAATAGAGACCACAAAGACGCTGGTGTGAAGGAACTGGAACTATAGCTCCCACGGAAAGAAGATGATGAATCGAAGACTAAATGGCTTGACGACAAAGTTGGTTTTTTGGTAGTGGGGAAGGGACAAACCGAAAAGAAGTCTATTAGGTAGCCTTCTGAAATAGTTTTCAGAACCCAGCGGCTAGAGACAGACTTTTGCCAGGCGGGAAGAAAGCTGGAAAGGCGATCCCCCACCCAGGACGTGGACCTGCCATTGGTCTCGTTGTTTGCTTGCCAACATGAGACAAATTAGTTTTTGTCCAGCTCGTGATTTTAAGGACCTATGTATGGGTGTGTATGGGTACACAAGCCTTTGGCATTTTCCTTTGTATGTAAATACAGGCAGAAGAGAAACTGCAGTCTGTGCTTCTGAGATAGGGGGTGGGGTAGAATGTGCCTTAGCTTAGGACCCCCCTATCTTTTAACCTGTCTTAGCCCTCGGCATCCCACAGCTGCCCAGTTGCAGTGGGACCAGGGATCAGAGCATGCTTCTAATTGCCGCCCCCGCCACCCCAGGGACCCCGTCACACTCTCCTAGCTCTCTTTCTCAGTCCGGCTAACGCGCTGCTCCATTTCTTTCAGGTTGTTGGTGGGAGCGCCACAGGCGGCTGCTTTGCCGGATCAAAAGGCCAGCAGGACTGGCGGCTTGTATGCCTGTCCCTTGACCCATGAGATTAATGACTGCCAACGAGTGCCCATCGATGAGGGAGGTAAGTGAGCAGCACTGTGAAAACACCCAAGGCTGTCATATGGTGTCATTCAGTGTTCAGGGTGATTAAACTGGAGTCAGTTTGGAATTGGAGTTGGGCATGATGATGATGATTTTATTTATACTCCACCCATCAATCTGGGTTTCTCCAGCCACTCTGGGCAGCTTACAGCATATCTAAAAACATAAAACAGGGATGTCCAACAGGTTGATCGTGATCTACTGGTCGATCCATGGGAGGTTTTGGTAGATCACGATTGATCGCTGGCTCCTCCATCTGGCCCCGCTCCCTCGCCCTGCCCTCTAGATCGGCAGTACGAAAGACGGACGTCTTGCTGCGAGACCGGCTGTTTCATAAGTGATCCCTTGGTGAGCAGTTTAATTCATTTTTTCCTTTGCCCTGTCCCCCCCCAATGGGTTTACCCTCCCCTAAAAAAAGCTCATCAACTTTGCTCTGAACCCCCCCAAAAACAGGACGTTCCTCCCTAAAAAAAGTTCAACAATAACTTTGACCTGAACCCGCCAAAAATGGGGTAGATCATTCCGTCCCTGACATAAAACATCAAGCATTAAAAACCTCCCGATACAGGGCTGCCTTCAGATGTCTTCTAAAAGTTGTGTAATTATCTCCTTGGCATCTGAAGGGAGGGCATTCCACAGGGAGGGCGCCACTGCCAAGAAGGCCCTCTGCCTGGTTCCCTGTAACTTTGCTCCTCGCAGTGAGGGAACCAGCAGAAGACCCTCGGAGGAGGACCTCAGTGTCTGGGCTGAGCGATGGGGGTGGAGGCGTTCCTTCAGCTATACTGATACCATTTCCTGCATCCTGTGCATGGCTTAATTTGATCCTGCCTGGATTTTCCACAGTGTAAACCTGCAACTTGCTTTTCAGTCACCTGCTCACACTCTGAACATGTTAAATAAGAATTGGTTGAGTGACTGAATGCATATTGATTCAATTTCCTTTACCTTTATGTAACAATACCCTGTTCACACAAGCTTGCCCCGGCACCTTGACCTCCAGAAATTTAGCACAAGCTGTACTAAAGCTAGTCCGAATTATGGTTCCTAAATCTTATCTGGATCAATTCAGTTCTTAGAGGACAATGAGGAGTATTCCTATGGACACTGGCTTGGATTGGACACCTTGGCATTCCAGCATAGAATTATGCTGCCAGTCTAACACCCTTTTCTGGGTTCTTACCACATTGTTACAAACAAAATAGAGTATTCTATTCCTTAGGACCAAACTACATGTGATATGGGAGGTGTGCAATTAAATCTGCCAGATTTCTTAAAAGTGACTGGAGGTATGGTGGACGGGAGCAACAGTACTATGTGAGGGAGATCTTATGCTGCATCTCCAGCCCAAATTGCCTCCATGGAGCTTTAGAGAGAAACACAGAACTACTTGCATTGTACCTGCTCTTAATTGAGAGATCCTGTCAAGGCCCATGCGTGCTCTGTAAAATCCTGGCCAGTGCACCAACACAAATTCATTACGGCTGCTCTATTGAGTACGTTCAACTTACCAGAACTGCTGAATATGGCAGGGTTGACACCTGAATATTTTCCCTCCAAGGCTCATGGCTGCTTTTGGGGGGGGGGATTTAATACCCCCCACCCCACCCCACAGTCTTTATGCAAATCAGGCACCGTACATCTAATTTTAGCTCAAGAGGCCCATTTGTGGATCTCCCAAGACACAAGTAGTCTGGCCCTCATTGGCCACCGGATTGGTTGATGTTATTAGGAGAGGAGCAAATGCTCCATATCCCGTCCTGCATAATGGAGGGATGAGCTTGAATCCTCTCCCTAAGTTGAGATTGATATCTCCTCTCCATCTCCTCCACACCTTGCAGTTGACCTGAAGAAGGAGAGCAAGGAGAACCAATGGCTGGGAGTCACCGTCAAGAGCCAGGGCCCCGGCGGCAAGATTGTGGTCAGTGGCCATGGATGGATGGATGGGTGGGTGGTCATTCTGTTAACCTGTTTGGGTCTGGATTTCAGAGTATAGGCTGCTGTCCTCTGTGTTATATATAGCAGGAGAAGGAGCTCCTTGCTCTTTCCTCAGGGTTTTTCTTTGGGGAGGGGGGAGGGACAGTTTAGTGCAGTGATTCCCATTCTTTTTTTGGCCATGCCCCACCTAAGCATCTCTAAAATCCTGATCTCCGCCCCGCCCCCAGTGACATAAAATTCTTATTATTCAAAAAGTGAACTCCTATTCACATGGAGGAAGCCTAAAAGGCCATTCACTGTTAATAACTCATTCTCGAATTGCCCCCCTTAAAAACCAGGTTGCCCCCCCCCGTGGGGCGTGTGCCCCATGTTGGGAACCACGGGTTTAGCAGATTATAGTGGCAAGAGTTATGTGGAAGCAGGTGGGTGGAGGGTTATAAAAGGAGACAGATTTCAGATGAGCTGAGGACAGATTGGATAAGGTGAGGTTAAGAAGAGCCCCCCCCCCCTTGCTGCTTTTGTGTTCACATTAGGGCTGGGCGATATCTGGTTGTCAACATCGCGATATATCACCAGATGAACATTGCAATATACTGATAACATTGTGATGTCTGAAATAATTGGCTGGCTTCAGGGCTTTTCCCACATCATGATTTTTGCCTAGCACACACAAACGTGCATCATGATTTGTGATATATTGCCAGGTCAAAAATTACGAAGCCCATAGTAGGATATGAACTCTAAACCAGTTTTGGATTATCATATTGATACTGTATATCATCCAGCCCTCGTTCACATTAGCAGCGGAAACCAATTCTAGGTCATTTGGTAGGTGGGGTTATTCAGAAAGGTGTTTCTGTATTTCACACACCCGTTAAGAGGATCACATTCAGTGGAGTTCTGTGAGGCTCTCCTAGGTATCTGCTCTGCTTCCTGGATAGAAAGTTCAGCTTTCCTGTGTCTTGTAATTGAAACACCCTGGGAAGGGCTGTATAGTTGGGGAAGGCTCAACTCTGATAACATCCACATGAATAAATCATTCTAGTGGTGTGTTTGCTGTTTTGTAAAGAGGAACACACACTTCTGTACACCTGTGTCACTTGGGAACAGCCCAGAAGTCAGGATGTATTAAGGGTCTTTTGATCTGAAATAACAACTTTGTTGATCTGAAATAACAATTCGTGAACATGTTCTGTGTCTGAGCCAATTTACACCATCAGAGAAAGCACACACTAAGTTCTTTGTGCACATGGAAAGCTAGTGTGTTAGGGAATAGGTTAGGCCAACCCTTATTACTGACATGATTGCTTTCTGAGTGCAGGGATTTTTTTTTTACTTTTTAAACAACACTGCCGACATGGGCTGCCATATGTCCGCATCTATCATTTTTATTGTATTCTCTCTGTGTTTATGACAATAAACTTGAATTTGTCAACCCCATATATACATGGATACTTTTCATTGTGGAGGGAAGTTGTGCAAACTAAGAGCTGGGCCTTCTTTCTGAAGGACCTTGGGAAGAGAAAGCACAACTCATTGATTATGCTTTCCTGCTTTTTGGAATCTTCTAACAGCATTATCGGTTTCTCACCCTGGACTATTCCCCTTCCACCTGTTTATGTGTGTGTCCTCAGTAAGCCTTGTTACCCAAGAACTGACTTAGCTTGGAGTAAATGTTGTCATATGGTCTTCCATACCGGGACATTTAAATACCTTCTGCTTAGATACCATAAGGGAGCAATTAAGCCACGTAAATAGCTTCCTAGGTTAAATGTTTGATATAACCATGCAGTTCTGTGCAGGAATGCCAGAAGGAAGCAGATTTTTTTTTTTCCTAACCCACTTTTCCATGTCATTTCCCTTCCCATGTATCCCAGACCTGTGCCCACTTGTACGAAGCCCGTAACCGGGTAAACGAATCTCTGGAGACGAGGGACGTAATTGGCCGCTGCTACATGCTGAGCGAGGGGCTGCAAGTCTCTGACGAACTGGATGGCGGCGAGTGGAAATTCTGCGAAGGGCGGCCACAGGGACACGACCGCTTTGGCTTCTGCCAGCAAGGGGTGGCGACCGGCTTCACTGCAGATAGGCATTATATCCTCTTTGGGGCGCCTGGTACCTACAACTGGAAGGGTAAGCTGGCACACATATGCCTGACCCAGGGAGCGTGGGGAGCGTTAAATAACATAGCTCTGACCCGACATCCGTCAGCATTATGCAAACCAACTGTGCTGGGTTTGGAGGCTATGACAGCCTCCAGTGGACCAGAGAATGAAGCATGGCCAGAGTGCATCCTCCTTGCCATTTCCATTTCCTTGGGAATGTGCCTTCTTTACCAAGCACAGGGAGCTGCCTGGTCAGACCTCTGGTTCATTCTGCTCAGTATTGTCTGCTCACTGGCAGCTGCTCCCCAGGGTTTCAGGCAAAATCTCCTCCCCCCCCCCCCGAGGATGCCAGGAGTGAAATCAGGACTTCCCGCATGTGCTCTGGTCATTGAGCTAAGGTGAGGTTACTAGATTTTTTTGCAATGAATCCGGGGACACTTTTCAACTTCAATTGATTTTGTATGGGGACTGATTTGTAAATCCGGGTCATTGAGCTAAGGTGAGGTTACTAGATTTTTTTGCAATGAATCCGGGGACACTTTTCAACTTCAATTGATTTTGTATGGGGACTGATTTGTAAATCCGGGGACTGTCCCCGGGAAATGGGGACGTCTGGTAACCTTAAGCTAAGGCCCTTAGCCAACATGACCAGTACTGCACCTCTGTGCCAGATGGAAGAGTCAGTGGGTGCTCCCACCTTGATCAGCACCCCCCCTTGTGGTGGTCAGCATTGCTGATGATTTACACCTCCTCCAAGGAAATGCTAATGGGATGCATGGCAGTTCTGACCTTTGATTGCCTAGTAGGCAGCGGTGTCAGAACCACGTGAATCACCGATGGGCATGCCCATCACGCACCCCTGCCATCTCTTTGCCACTTGGAACAGCCCAATGAGCGTTCCAGTTCTGAGTACCTGCTGGGTTGTGAACCTACCCCCCCCATATGGACCTGGTGGATGAACCAGGTGCAGCTTCCGAGTCTCAATGGAGATAGCTGGGAAAACTGCAATGTGCAATTCACCCACGCGTTGCTGTTGTACTGTGCTGTGAGGCCGTGGATCCTCAACCCAACCTCTTCCTCCCCCCTCCCGCCAATCACTAACAGGTGTTTGGTTTGGCAGGGACCATACGGGCAGAGCTGAGTGGCTTGAATTTGAGTTACTACGACGACGGGCCGTATGAAGCCGGGGGAGAGAAGGACCAGGACCCCTCGCTCATCCCCTTGCCTGCCAACAGCTACCTTGGTACGGGGTTGCGCCCGGCAGGCGAAGCATCGCAGAGCAATTGGACAGGCCACCCGCAGGGCAGGGTGCTGATGAGGCTAACGAACAACATCTGGAAAGGGGCTTCTGCCTTCAAGACTAGCCATAAATACAACCATGAAAAATAATAACGAGAACCCTTATTTGTGGCATTCTCAATGAGCAGACATTTCATTCTCATGACCTTAGGGCAAACCTGGCTAAACTGATTTGCCAGTTGCTGACACTGGTGGCTCAGAGACAAGGCAGTGCTGGGAAAAAAAAAATCCCAGCCAGGTGCGACCCAGGCCCTGCTAAGTCTCTCCGACTCCTGCCCAGTGCTCTGTGATGGTTCCCTGCCTGGGCGCCAAGGTTTCTCATACTGCTAACTTCTCTCTCTTCTCTCTCTCTCTTTCCTTCCGTTGGCCTTGCAGGGATATTGTTTGTGACAAACATTGATAGCTCAGACCCTGACCAGCTGGTCTATAAAACGCCAGAGCCCAGCGAACGGGTTCCCGGGAGTGTTGGAGATGTGGCCCACAATAGTTTCTTAGGTTTGTAAGGTGTTGGTGTGCCCGTCTCCTGTGATTTCTGCCTCTCGCCCTTTCTCCCCGGAAATCCCTCTTCTTCTTTAGCATTTCTCTCTTTTTTTGCTAGTCTATGTTGTTTTCCCCTTTCTGTTGTGTTTTGTCAGCCCCAACAACCCCTCCCTCCAAAAAAAACCCCCACCAACACATGAGTGGAGTGGGGTAGAGCAGAGAGCTACAGATTCTGATTTAGCAATAGTCAGGTAATTTAGGTGGCTATGACAGATTTAGGAGAAGCAGTTCTGGGTAAGTGGCTTTATAATAACTGACATCTAGGTTCAGTTAGTCTCTATATGCATTATCATTAGTATCTTAGGTATTAAATTGACTTTTTGCCATGGGCCTTTTCTGCAGGTGCGCCCTAATATTTGGAAAGCCCTCCTTAAGGAGGCATTCCGGCACCAACATTATAAGCTTTTCAGTGCCAGGTCTATTTAGCTGGGCATTTTTACATCATAGATCTTTTCCCTACTCCCTGAATTCTATTTTACTCTGTGTTTAAGATTTTGGGGTTTTGTTGATTTTGATTTTTTAAACCTATATCTTGCATTTCATTTATTTGTTGGTTTTAAATTCTATTTATAGATTACATGAATCTTATTTGCACTTTTGTATAGTCCCTGTAATCTTTTTTTTAAATAAAGGGCAACTAAGAAAGATTTGAAACATATAAACAAACAAAACCTATGTTTAAAACAACTAGAGAAGGGGTAGAGGAGCACAAGAGGTTTTGTGTGTGCTTTGAAGAACATAATCAAGTTCTGTGCTCCAAAGAAATTATGCCGTTTATATGTTTTCTTGCATAATGTTGGTATGTTTTAGTTTCATCCCAGTATTATCTGAGCTTCTGAGAGAATATAGAAGTTTCAGTTTTGTGTGTATGAAAGGGAGGAGCATAGTAGAACTGGAAAGGAAGCCAAATGTTGAGCTGTAAGCATAGAATGGAGTGGAAAACGTCACAAGAGAGGGAGTGATAGCCATGAAGGGCAGGTCTGAGCTTGGTCACAGAAGTTCTACCTTCCTAACAGGAGAATCTTTTGCTGATACTGCAAAATATATCCTTGCAACCCTGACAGCTAGAAACCTGAATCGCAATCACAACCAAGCTCTTTTACGGCAGAGTCTTCAGTGGGGGAGATAAAACCTAGGATGCAATTCTATGCACATTTACCTGGAGATGAGTCCCTAGTGAACACTGTGGGGACTTCCTTTTGAGTAAACAGGCATACAATTGCACTTAACTATGGGAAGATTTTTGGGACGCGGGTGGCGCTGTGGGTAAAAGCCTCAGCGCCTAGGGCTTGCCAATCGAAAGGTCGGCGGTTCGAATCCCCGCGGCGGGGTGCGCTCCCGTTGCTCGGTCCCAGCGCCTGCCAACCTAGCAGTTCAAAAGCATCCCCGGGTGCAAGTAGATAAATAGGGACCGTTTACTAGCGGGAAGGTAAACGGCGTTTCCGTGTGCAGGTCTGGCTCGCCAGATCAGCGATGTCATGCTAGCCACGTGACCCGAAAGTGTCTCCGGACAGCGCTGGCTCCCGGCCTCTAGAGTGAGATGAGCGCACAACCCTAGAGTCTGTCAAGACTGGCCCGTACGGGCGGGGGTACCTTTACCTTTATGGGAAGATTAGCTACTTTACAGGGATGCTTGATTTGTGAGGATGAAATGGGGAGGGAAAGAAGAACCATTCTTCTTGGAGGAAAGGTGGAGTATAACAGCAATAATAAGAATTAAGAGTGGAGCACATGCTCAGTTCTTCCAGTGCGACCTAAAAGTGCTTTGCTTTTGGCTGGATTGTACTCTTGCTGTTTTCAAGAAATGAAAGATGAGATTCCTGGGAATGGGGACCAGATTCCAGATAATGCACGGCATTCCACAAAAACAAACAAGCACCCAAAAAAAGAAGCAGCAGGCAAATTTCCCAGTGTATAAATACTGTAGCAACTTTACACACACATACACACACACTCAAACATGCCCCAACGCAAACATTGCATACATGCACTCAGAACCAACTTGAATGTTTTGAAAAAGCATCTTGCAATGTCTGCCTTCAGGTGGCAAATAGTTCAGCCGGTAGAGCACGAGGCTCTTAATCTTGTCGTGGGTTTGAGCCCTATGTTGGGCAAAGGATTCCTCCATTGCAGGGGGTTGGACTCGATGACCCTCGGGATCCCTTTCCAGCCCTACAGTTCTACGATTCTACGGTTCTAACAAGGGCAGGTCTGGGACTGCAGGCTTGAATGCTCTCCTACATCATGAACTCTGTACATGTTGGAAGGTAGCACATAAGAGAGAAGTCTGAGCTGGGACACTTCTTTCTCATGCGCTCACTTTTTACATGAAGGCCGTTTTTGACATGGGGGAGCTTTCCGAGATGCCCACTCAGACCTTGGCTTCACGCTGCTTTCTGTTTGGAATGAAACCAAACCATGATACCTGGTTTGGGTTGCTAACTCCAAACTGTGGATTGTGGTCTGTTGCTCCCTCTAGGGGAGGAGTGATGCCGGAGCAATCAGGGTGTTCATGGCCCGCCGTTAACTATGGCTTGCTCTCATGAGCAAACACAGCCTGCAAACCCTCCAGGCTCCTTGCGGTGGAAATCCTGCACCGGTGACTGGCACGGGATGGGATGATGTACACTGCTCGAAGCCTGGCTACAGGCTCCTCTGAAAACTAGGTGCCCTTTGGCCTGATCAACACCAGAGGTGCAAGCTGCTCTGAAGGAACATAAGAGCGTGACGTCTGGCCATAGATCTATGTAGTCTAGCACCATGTCTCAGTGGGGTGTGAAAGAGGTAGCTGCCCTCTGTTATTTATATCCGATATATATTAAATAGAGGTATCCAGTCTGCTTGAAGAGGATTCAGTTTCTTGATATTACAGCTACCAACTACAGATAGACCTATGCCCAGTGAGCATGGCTAACCCTTTTAAGAGCTATTTATGCTAATGGCCTGCCCTCCCATCCTGTAGCAATGGATCCCGTAAGCTAATCTCACATTGCATATCAATTGGCACTTCCTTTTGCTTCTCCTGAATCTGCCTTCAGTAAGTTTCATTGGCTGACCCTGAGTTCTAGCGATTTGAATGGACACCTCTCCTCTGTAGAGCTGTGAAGGGCCTTTATTAACATTCGGCCCCTGATTTTACCCAGATCCATTGGGTGGAGGTGGCAGAGACATTTGGCAACTGCAGGTGATGGAAGGGATATAGACTGTATGTCCCAAGGACTGGCATCACCCGTTGCCAATCCTCTGCTGTAAATGCTAGTCAGCAGGACACCAGCTGAGGAGCAAGTGGGTCATTGTAAGCTGGGGGGTGGGGAGGAGTGGGGTGAAAAGCTGCAGGTGGGGTGGGAACTTCTGTGTAACTCACAGAGCATAGATAAGAAAGGTAAAATGTGAGCAGGGAAAACTATATAGTGCAAGAGGAAGAGGATTAGACTGCAGGTGTGGGGGTTGGCACCTAGGGGAGCCTGGAACCACCCTTTTGCCACTGACTGCCCCTTGTTGCATGGTGTCTGTGTTGCTTGTGCCTGTCTGCATGCTTGTTTCTAAGCAGTGGGGAAGAATGCTCATTCTGGCTGATCCTACCTGATGCAGGAGCTCCATGCTTGGTCCATCATGTGTTCTCCCATATTCTAAGATGCAGGTGGTGCTGTGGTCTAAACCACTGAGCCTCTTGGGCTTGCCGATCGGAAGGTCGGCAGTTCGAATCCCCGCAACAGGGTGAGCTCCTGTTGCTCTGTCCCAGCTCCTGCCAACCTAGCAGTTTGAAAGCATGCCAGTGCAAGTAGATAAATAGGTACCGCTGTATTGGGAAGGTAAACGGCGTTTCCATGAGCTCTGGCTTCCGTCACAGTGTCCTGTTGCACCAGAAGTGGTTTAGTCATGCTGGCCACATGACCCGGAAAGCTGTCTGTGGACAAACGCCGGCTCCCTTGGCCTGAAAGCGAGATGAGCGCCACAACCCCATAGTCGCCTTTGACTGGACTTAAACATCCAGGGGCCTTTTACCTTTACCTTTTACCTTCTAAGACAGGGATATGGAACCTTCTGGCCTCCAAATATTGTTGGACTCCAACTCTCATTAGCCCCAACCACTATGGTCAGGGATGCTGGGGGGTCCAGCAGCATCCGGAGTCCTCACCGCTACGCTAATGCACCAGACCCTCCTGGGATTACAGTGGGCCAATCACTGAACAGGGAATGGGGCTGTGGGGCAGCTTTCTACTCATAGTTGTCCCCGCCCCCTGCTGTCCTCAAAGGGAGCATCCCTTGTCTCACAGTATGAAAGGAACCTAGTGGGATTCAGCTGCTGCTGATGGAGGAGGACAAGGGGTGGCAAATGACCAGCCCTGCTTGAAGACGTGAGGGAGACCCTACAGGGCTGGGGCCAAAGATTTCCTATTTTAGTTCTGTCACAAACGCTCCTGCTTCTTTCCAGCCCCACCTTCCTCCAACAGCCTGCCTCCTCCAACCCTCCCAGTCTGCCACCCAGCTTACAGACTGCTCTTGCATGCATGCCAGCCACAGTGTGCCTTTGCTTCCCACCCAGCCACCATTTCACCCATTACAGCCCCTCCTGCCTCCTCAGAGCTGGACAGACGGTGTATCCAACACGTTGCCCTCCAGATGTCTTTGGACTATAGGCCGAATTCAACTAAATAGTTGAGCTAGCAGGGACCAGTGCAATGAGTCCCACTGGCAATGCAGGGCTTTCCCCTCTTTCCTCCACCCCCCCTGGATCCAGGAGTACCCCCCCCAAGAACAGCATGCACCAGAGAAAGAGGGGAAATATTTCCATCTGGCAAGCAAGGGTCCTTGCGCTGATGGGACGATCACCTTAGCATGACTTTGAGTTCCACCCCACAACTCTCATCTTCTCTAACCTTTGACCCTGCTGGCCGGGGCTGATGGGAGCCATAGTCACCACGTTGGCCAACTGAGCAATGGCTGTGCCATGGATAGGACCAGATTTTAGTCCCGGGGCTACACAGTGCCTTTTCCTATTTCCCCTGCAACCTAACACCATCCCTTCCAAGTTTGATCTTGGTTCTTCAAGGGCTATTTTAGAGCTGTGGTTTAATGCCAGCGCTATCGCCGTTTGAGCCCTGCCATGCCAGCAGGCTTCACTGCTGCTCTGGAAGAGTCCTCCTGGCTGTTGCCTTTCCCCCTTTCATTTATTCACCCCTCTTTTCAAGTCCCATGTGCTTTTGGGGCTGAGAAATGGTTGTGGCTGAGAAGCAGAGAAGAGCTGTGAGCGCAGCGCCCTCAACAAACGGCAGTCCCCAGGATTTCTTGGGGGAAGTCATGTGCTTTCAATGTATGGTGGTACATAGGCAGCCTATGCCTTGAAGGCTGCTTTCTGGGGAAAGCCTTGCATGCCCTATCAAAGACATCTATCGAAAACCTCCTCCTCTCCAGAGCAGAGGCCCCCAGTCCCGCTGCTGCTTCCCATCCCACCACGCAGAGGCTACTTGTAATGTATATATAAGGAGTCACATTTGCATTCCTGGCCAGTGTCCATCCCTCAGCCGTGGACTTTCTCCCAGTTCTCTGGCTCCCACAACACACAGTGGGGAAGGGGGTGGCAGGAAGAGAGTGGGGGTGGGAAGCAGGGGGTGGAGAGTCCACGGGCTTTTCCTGCAGAAAGAACCTTTTCAGAAAGACAGGTTTTTGTCATGAGAAGTATTTAATTCCGCAACCATCAGAGGTGGTGGGAGGCATCTCTGACCCCCCTTTTGCAGCTAGTTCACATGTTTCTCAATTGCATTTGTTAATTCATTAAAATGTATATACATTTTAATTGCCCTTTGTTGTGATGCTGAAGCCCAGCTTTAAAAAGCAACAGCAGCAGCTCTTTAGAGAACTAATAATAATAATCTTAAAGAAGGTGGCTGCTTTAAAACCAGTCAGCTGGACAGCCTGCTCCTGATTTGTGCATGTTTCCCAGTCCTTGGACAGAACTTGCTCCTCCTTTAAGAAGCCTGTTCTTTAGTGCAGCCTTCCGCACCCTGGTGTTGGTCAGACATTGTTGGACTCCAGTTCCTATCATCCCATACCATTTGTTCTGCTGGCTGGGGCTGATGGGAGTTGGAGTCCAACAACTTCCGGAGGTCAGCGTGCTGGCTGACCTGCTGTAAATCATAAATAGGCAGATCCACATTATCCATATTCATGGCTAGATAATGGCATAAACCCCAGCTGCTTGTGACACTTGTTGGCCACTGGTTGGCCACTTGTTGGCCACTGGTTGGCCACTACGAGCTTAACCACACATATTTTGCCCTGCTCTTTCCAGCCACAGGTATGTGCTTAAAGCTCTGTGCCCAAGTTTTTTTTTGGGTGGTGGTGGTGCTGTTACCTCTGAGCTTTCCCAGCAATAATTTGCTCTTTAGCGGTCAATCGGAGCAAAATCAATTCCGGTTTTCCTTGGATTGCTGTTTGCTCCAATTGAGCTTTAAAGAGCAGGTTTTCATGGGTCAAGCTCCAGAGCAGAAAAAGAGGGTGCTTAGACACAGAGCTTTAAAGTATGGACCATGCCTGGAAAGAGTGGAGGACAGGTAAGTGTGGATAAACCCTAAATTAGCCCTAGTGTCAAGAAACATGAAGATATGCAATTCCAAATTCAAGCAGCTGAGGAGGCAGATAACATGTTCCTTATCTTACCCACTGAGGCTAACATGGGATAGGTGAAAAGCAACAAGTTGAGAAAATGGAGAACAAATCTGGCTACCTAGGATTTAAGAAATAAGTTTGTTCAAATGTGACTTTAAGCAGTTTTCCAATGAAACAAAATTGTGAAAATAACAGCTTTCATTTACATCCCCCACCCAAATGAAACGGACAGTTTCTAAGCATTGGTGGTTCGTACAACGTGCATTGTGTACATGCGCATGTGCACATTAAGTTCAGAAGCCAGGAGTTGGACCAGTGTTGAGATCTTACGACTTTAAAGCTTTTATTGGTGATTTGGGGACCGCATACATCTTTTCATACTAACACCTTTCCACAACAGCCTCACCCTCCGTGGTCACTGACGTGCTTTTCTGTTGTTCCAGGGTTTTCCCTTGACTCTGGAGTGGGGATTACCAGGAAGAATGAGCTGAGTTTTGTAACAGGGGCTCCTCGAGCCAACCACACAGGGGCTGTGGTGATCCTGCACAAAGACAACGTCAACCGCCTGGTGCCCGAGGTTATCATCCCAGGAGAGAAGCTCACTTCATCCTTTGGCTATTCCTTGGCTGTGGTTGACCTCAATCACGATGGGTGAGCAACATGGGATGGAGACAGCATTCTGCCTGAATGATGCTTGGGCCCATTCTCTGTTTTAAAGGCTGCCCTGGTCTGTTGGGTGGTAATAAGAGCATAAGCTGCCCTAGCAGGAGTTACAGCACAGGTGGGCAAGGGCTACAGGAGATGTTGGAGCTGGGTTTGGTTTACAACTTGCTCCAGTGATTTACAAGATAACGGACTCCTAGCACACATTGTGAGAGCTACTGTGGTGCAGCAGCTAGAACAGTGTCAAACTAGAGGTATGAAACCTGAGGGTCTCCTAATGTTGTTGGACTCCAATGTCCATCAGCCCCAGCTAACTACGGTCAGGGATGATGGGAGTTGTAGTCCAATAACATTTGGATATGTTCTTCCCTCTTGGACTGGGGGTTGGCTGGGGGTTGGGATAGGGTTGCCAATATTTCAGCTGGCTAATGTAGCATCGTGAGGTGCAGACACTACTAAATAATGCTGTTTATCTCCGTGATACAAAAGGCTACACCTGCCTGGCTTCTGCACATTAAATTGCCAATGAATGCATAGTAACAGATCAGGCTGTTGTTCTTTTTTCTGGTGGATTAACAATCCTGCAGAAAGTGAGCTGCGTGTGGGAAAGTAGAAGTAGCTACATCCCATCTAAAATTTGGAATCCCATTATTCCATCAGATTAGCAACTCCACTCTTGGAAAAGATGTGGGCAATAATGTCTTCCCTGCGGGCTTCCCCTAGCAGGGGAAAATAAGACTCATAGCACAGTGAATGAAGAGTAACAATGTGTGGGTTTTGCTATAAGAGGTTTTGAGTCGCTTGCTCTGTTTCTCATTCTGGGTATCCAACGTGGCTACGGATACCCTGAGAGCAACGGGTGTTTCCATGGCAGCCGCACTCACTGCATGTTGTCTCTAGCTGGATGGACTTGGTGGTCGGAGCACCGAACCTCTTTGACCGCAAGGAAGGGATCGGAGGAGCAGTCTACGTTTACATCAACCAGGCAGGGCACTGGGACAATGTCCTCCCCATCCGCCTCAATGGTTCCTATGACTCTATGTTTGGTATCACAGTGGGGGCTGTTGGAGACCTCAACCAAGACGGCTTCCAAGGTGAGAGAACTGAGAGAGCCTGTGGCTGTGGGAAATTGGCTGGTGGGGGTTCTTGAACTGGTCTGCTTGAAGTACCTATGACTGTAGGTTTAGAGGCAGGGGATGTCCTGTCAAGGGTCACAGGGGACCCAATCAATGGCCTGAGTCAGCAATTCAAGGCACCAACAGCACCTGCAGGACCACGGAGAGCTCCCTGTGGCAGCTAAACAAGCTGTTGCCTCTGCAAGCACCTAGCTAGAACGGAAGCCTTCTATATGTTGACTGGGCAAGTAGTGTATACAGTATGGCCCTCCTCCCAAGAGGGGCTGACTTGTTAAAGGGCTCCTTTCCTTATTTTGCAGTCTTTGACTCCTGTGGTTTGGAGAGACAGAGCTACTATGGGAGACTTCTCTGAATTAGAGGAGAGCAGCAGGACTGTGTCCTCTGGCTGAGAGAATCTGGGTTACTGTTTTGACATATCTCCACTGGTTTTGAAGTCATTGGGGGAGGCATAGTGAAGCTGCCTTATACTGAGTCAGACCATTGGCCTGCCTGGAAGCTCCGCAGTGTTTCATTTACAGCCCTACCCAGGGATTGAACCTGTGACCTTCTACATGCGATGCAGAGAGATTCCCAGCTGCTGCTCAGACCTCACCTGGAGTACTGTGTCCAGTTCTGGGCACCACAGTTCAAGAAGGACACTGACAAACTGGAAGGTGTCCAGAGGAGGGCAACCAAAATGGTCAAAGGCCTGGAAACGATGCCTTATGAGGAACGGCTAAGGGAGCTGGGCATGTTTAGCCTGGAGAAGAGGAGGTTAAGGGGTGATATGATAGCCATGTTCAAATATATAAAAGGATGTCATATAGAGGAGGGAGAAAGGTTGTTTTCTGCTGCTCCAGAGAAGCAGACAAGGAGCAATGGATCCAAACTACAAGAAAGAAGATTCCACCTAAACATTAGGAAGAACTTCCTGACAGTAAGAGCTGTTTGACAGTGGAATTTGCTGCCAAGGAGTGTGGTGGAGTCTCCTTCTTTGGAGGTCTTTAAGCAGAGGCTTGACAACCATATGTCAGGAGTGCTCTGATGGTGTTTCCTGCTTGGCAGGGGGTTGGACTCGATGGCCCTTGTGGTCTCTTCCAACTCTATGATTCTATGATTCTAAGATAAGGGGTTCTGATGAAGTTCCTGGTAATTCTTCCCTCCAGGATGGAGCTAGAACTTCATCCTCCTCTGAGACATCCATTATGCAGTGCATGGCTTCTTTTTGTGTGAAATAGTTTTTATTTGATTTTACAAATTCATTCACATAAATAATATTATTACGAATAACAAAAGTTGCACAAGATTCTTCTGAATCTTAAGACTTCCCTCCTCCCCTCCGTGGGTTCTTAAGTATCTTTTTTAACTGATTATTATAAGTCCATCTATTTTGCAGTCCTCCATTGTATCCAAAATCTATGTTATTTAAAAGCTGCCAAAGAGTTCAAGTGTTTACAGTGGTCTTTCAGATTCAATATAAATTTGTCCCATTCCGTGTTGAAGTTTTGATCCTCCCGATTTCTGATTTTGCTGGTTAATCTTGCCATCTCTGCGTAATGTAATCCAATAGTTTCATTTACCAGTCCACCCTAGTAGGTATCTTGTCCTCTTTCCATCTCTGGGCAAGAAGCATCCTGCATGGTTTCTAGGTCATGGTTCATGACAAGGGAAATCTAGGAATCGAGCCGAGTCTCTGCATTTGAAAGCCATCTCCCTTAGCATCAGTGGAATGAACTTCCAAGTGCGCATCTTTATGATTGAAGTGTTTGGCTCTTGAGGATCAAGCTGGGAGAAAAACATGGGCAGGTAAAAGGAGGGGGAGTATGTGCGAATGTGAAACAGAAAAAAAATGCAAGAGGCTATGATGATCTCAGAGGTGTGGATATCTTGTGCTGCCCTGGTTTATGTGATAAAGAGGTGTACCTCCTTTGTAGACTGCTATGTACATTAAGATGATCTGTGGCAGTATGCAATTATGTGAGAGACTCAAATTAGGTTGGCTGCGTGTGAAATGCTGGCCGGTGAGCCTGATGCATCTGTAGCCATTTTTGCCCAGGTTTGTATCTATACGCATCATGTGACTATAGATGGGGCTTCCTTTATGTGGCATTGTGGCTCTTCCATATATCTGGGTATAATTATACATCTCAGTTCATTTCTGAGAGCCAATATGAAGTCCAGAAATGTGGGAGACAAAGACAGTTCTTACCGTCGCTGTTGTTCGTTTTCTTCCAGACTTTGCAGTGGGAGCCCCACTGGATGGCGATGGCAAGGTCTACATCTATCACGGCAGTAATTCAGGGTTTGTCACCAAACCTGCTCAGGTCAGTCTCCCTTATCCCCACCTTGCAGTAAAAGGGAGCGGTTTGGGGAACACTGCGTTCCTGTGGCCTTCTTCCCCTTTCTCTCTTGGCTGTGCATCCTTCCTTTGCTCTCACCCCAAATCACGATCCAATTTATCGCTACCCTGTTTTGCCCCTATCATCCTCTGCAGATTCTGACTGGGGAGAGTGTTGGCGTCAAGATGTTTGGATATTCCTTTTCTGGAGGGTTGGATATTGATGGCAACCTCTACCCAGATCTCCTAGTGGGATCTCTTTCCAACACAGTCGTCCTATACAGGTGAGCATAAAGAAGGACAGAGGAACAAATCCTCATTGATTTGAGATGCGTAAAATACATTGCAGTACAGCAACTAGTCCTATGAATTCACAGTCTGACCGAATTTAACCCACAGTCTGTCTCACACAGTTGCTTTCCCTTAAGAAGGAATCCTTCATCCAGCAACTTGACATGCATGGGGTGCTCCTCTTTCACTAGGAGATTCTCTTGTCCTGTCTTGTCCTGCTTGCAAACAGAAGACCAGATAGCAAGAGGTGGTCCCTGTGGCAGGGCAGACCCAACAACAGAGAGTCAGTACAAGTAGCAGATTAGGTCATACCAGAGCATCAGAACCCCATGCTGCCTATTTAATCCATCAAGGTCTGGTATATCTGTACGATTTGCCAGGTTCAGTGTAGGAATTTGAGACCAAGGTGGCCTTAGTGATTGTAGGATTCTGGCCCAGGGGAGTGCTGACTTGGGGGAGGTCACTTTAGGACTCTCTGGGTGACTAGGTTTTGGTGTCGTGACCTCTGCCCGGTGCCCCCATTGCCATGCTCCTTGTCTCTCAGGTCCCTCTATTTCACTGATGCACTTTGCTAATTTTTTAGACTCTGGACTTAATAGTCTTGCAGCAGTGGGGCTCTTTAGATGGCAATGTGCATTATTTCACTTCCTTTGGAATAGGATAAGCCAGGGGCCACGACACATCCATGGGCTCTGTACAGAATCTCCTGAAAGCTGCTAACCAACACAGAGGAACTTGACACATAATCTGTGGTCACCAAGGGATGACACCGAGATTGTAGTCCAAATCCAGAACTCCTGCAGCCAAACCGTTCTGCAAAAGAGATTGCTTATGTCAGCACAGGAAGGTGGCTGGCTTCTGGACTCCATCACCACTGTGATGTGACTGTTCAGACTTTTGTAAAATGTAAAAAGCTGCTGCTGCTGCTGCTGCAATGTGTGTCAGAAAGAGGCTGATAGAAAGCATGGACGTTGTTGGGACTTTGTATGGGGAAACAGAGAAAGCAAGACCGGGAAGATACAGTATCTCTTCGCTTACATCTGGGAGCTTTCCCATCCTTACTTGGATGTTCTGTTGGAGCTTCCTTGAACACACAGCAAGCAACACCCTTCTTAAGAACACTGCATTACCAAGCAGGGTCCAATGACACCCACCCCACCCAAATTTGTCTGCAAGTGACCCAATCTCTTATGAATGTCCAATCTACATTTTAGATCCCGACCTGTCATCCGCATCTCCAGAAATGTCACCATCTCCCCCCAGAATGTTGACCTGGAGGCCATGAACTGTCGCCACCATGTGGGCATCTGGTGAGAACTAGTCTTCTTAATGCATAGTCTCTTTCCTTGCTTCTTTGCCGCTCTTCCCGTTCCCCTTTTGCACGTGATGCCAAATGGTGCTTTCATGGATGCGCCTATACACCTGTTGCCTTATCCTCTTGCATGTTAGGTTTGCCCCAGTTTGAAAGCACACCAGTGGAACTGGATAAATGGGTACCACTGCGGCGGGAAGGTAAACGGCGTTCCTGTGCACTTCAGCTTCCGTCACAGTGTCCCATTGCACCAGAAGCAGTTTAGTTATGCTGACCACATGACCCGGAAAGCTATCTGTGGACAAACGCCGGCTCCCTTGGCCTGAAAACGATAAGAGCACCACAACTCCATAGTTGCCTTTGACTGGACTTAACCGTCCAGAGGTCCTTTACCTTTTGACCTTTATCTGATCCAGTGGACCTAACACTGTGCCAATCACCTTGCATGGCTCTATGGGTAGGATTTTTACAGCCACCAGAGCAGAGCTATCTGATGGTTTGAACACCTTATTTTTCTGGAGCTGTTTGTTCAGTGTGGTGTAGTGGTTAAGAGCAGTAGACTCGTAATCTGGTGAACCGGGTTCGCGTCCCCGCTGCTCCACATGCAGCTGCTGGGTGATCTTGGGCTAGTCACACTTCTTTGAAGTCTCTCAGCCCCACTCACCTCACAGAGTGTTTGTTGTGGGGGAGGAAGGGAAAGGAGAATGTTAGCCGCTTTGAGACTCTTTGGGTAGTGATAAAGTGGGATATCAAATCCAAAACTCTCTCTTCCAGTTAGCATATCTCCTGCCAGAATCCCACAGTGCAGGTGTGGTCTTTGGGGTACATCTAAATGATTTGGGGGAAGACTCGATGTTGCCCAGGGGGAGTGACACACTTCAATGTTCGTAGCCCTCTTAATCCAGGACTAGTCCTCTTTAACTCTAGAAAACGGAGCTACCCCATACCCAAGAGATATTCAGACCTGCTGAGCTCAGGAGAGTTCTACTGTTAATAAGAGTCTCTTATCTGCTTCCTTCCTTAGCATGGATGTGAGAGCCTGCTTCAGCTACACTGCCAACCCCCCAAGCTACAGCCCATCCATCAGTGAGTATTGGCTGGGCCTCACCAGTAGTTACTTGTTGCCTTGTGGTGCTTAGCTAGGTTACAAGACAGCACACTGTGTTCCCCACCCCGCTGTTGCATCTGGGCTTTGTAGTAGTATCTGTCTCTCCGCACTGAGATAATAAGGAAACCCAGGAGGTGCTGAATCCTGACACCAATAGAAGGAGCTTTCCGTCTCTTCCTCTTTTGCCCCCTCCCTTGCCCCAACTCACAGCCTCCGCTCCTTCCCCCAGTGCTTGAGTACACTTTTGACGCTGATACCGACCGCCGGAAATCAGGCCAGGCTTCCCGAGTCACCTTCCACAACCGGAAGCCCACAGACGCCGAGCACCAGTTCTCCGGGGTAGTGGAGCTGCCCCAGCAACATGTCCGTTCTTGTACCAAGGCCACACTGCAGCTGAAGGTGGGTTTCTCACTGGAGCATCCTTGGGCTGCTAGAACCACCTGCAATAGCTTTGGGAGCTCAGCCACTTAAAAGTAATTGAGGGATAAAGGAACTTGGGAGTTGAAGGGAGCGGTATGGCAGCCCTGTTTAAGCACTAGGCTTACAACCCACACTATCCCTCCCACACCCCAGCTTTCTAGTATCCCTGAGTTAGAAACCCTGTTCTGGGTCACTGAGCGGTATACAAGCCCATGGGACACGGGTGGCGCTGTGGTCTAAACCACTGAGCCACTTGGGCTTGCTGATCAGAAGGTTGGCGATTTGAATCCCTGCGATGGGGTGAGCTCCTGTTTCTCTTTCCCAGCTCCTGCTATCCTAGCAGTTTGAAAGCATGCCAGTGCAAGTAGATAAATAGGTACCACTGTGGCGGGAAGGTAAACGGCGTCTTTGTGTGCTCTGGTTTCCAACACGGTGTTTATGCGCCAGAAGCGGTTTAGTCATGCTGGCCACATGACCTAGAAAGCTGTTTGTGGACAAACACCGGCTCCCTCAGCCTGAAAGTGAGATGAGCACCGCAACCCCATAGTCACCTTTGACTGGACTTAAACGTTCAGCAGTCCTTTACCTTTTTACCTTCATACAATCCCATGCTGCAGGTCAGGAGGGAGGAACAATTTTTTGCGGACAAGGGCCACGTTCCCTTGACTGTAATCTGTTTAGGGGCTGGACAGGATCTGAGCAGCAGGGGGTTGGAATTTGTTGTTGTTTTGTGGGAGAAAAGGGAGTCGTGGGAATGTTCTCTCTCCATAAAAAACAACAACGGCCTCTATTGCAGGACCAAGTCCGGGACAAGCTGCATCCCATTGTGGTGGTGATGAACTACAACATCAAGCAAGCCCGCAGCAAGCGCCAGGCCCAGGGCGCCACGCTGGGCCCACTAATGCCGGTGCTGAATGTTGTGCCACCCAGCACTCAGAGGACAGAGGTAGGCATGTGTGATAGCTGGATCCAAGGCTGAAGCCTGGATCCCCTTCAACATGTGACCAGCAATGGCATGTTTCATTGTGAGAAACAAATGAAGAGCCTTATGTCTTGCCATTTATTCTGTCTCCCCTGTGCATTTTGGCTTGTTCAAAGATCGGCACTGTGCATTGGGTTGTGCACTATTGCAGCTTTTAAGCCAGTGCTTGTCTCCTGTAGGGGGTCTTTGTAAGAGTGCCTCTAGAGCTGCCCCCGCTTGTAGCTCTGCCATGCCCCCCCCACCTTTGGGTGTTGTGTTCCACCAGGTGAATTTCCTCAAGCAGGGATGTGGGGAGGACAAGATCTGTCAGAGCAACCTGCAGCTGAACTACCGGTTCTGTTCTCGTGTTGATGATGCTGTATTCCATCCCTTGCCCAGGTAAGAGCAGGGTGTGAATTCTCACCTGGCAGTAGCATTGATATAATTATTTGGTTTTGCTGTGTTTTCTGGTCTTGTAAATCACCGGGGGGGGGGGGCGGGATTGCTAGGGCTAAAAGGTGGAACAAAAATGTGTTTTATAAAAATTAAATAATTTTAGCAGGAACGTTTCTGGTGTCACACAGTAGTTGTGAGTGCGGAAACACGCAAGTTGCTGTGCCTTACCGTGCAACTCCAACACAATGGCATCCCTCCTAGATTTTTGTGAAGGGATGCTGCAGCGGTCAACCTTAACAGGCAGCTGGTTGAGACCAGGACCAGTTCACGTAGCCATAATCCCCCAAAGACCCAAGGCCTTCATGGTAACCTCTCTTCCTTTCCTCCAGAGGCGACGATGGCTTGGATGTTTTTTCCATGAGTGACCAAAAAGTCGTAGCCCTCGAGATCCATGTCACCAACTTTCCTTCGGATGCAGCTGAGCCACAGCGGGATGGAGACGATGCCCACGAAGCCATGCTGCTTGTCTCTCTGCCACCTACCTTGTCCTATTCTGCTTTGCGCCTCTACGATGCCATGGTACACGTTGGAAACGGCTGTAATATACTGTATAGTCCACAGAGGGGAGCATAGGAAAGAGCTGATCTATAGGATTGGGTGTCACAGATCTGATGGCACTCAGAATAGATGCTTCCAGCGGTGGCTGGTGGCCTTTGGGACTGGTAGGGCAGGCCAACAGTAGGTGGAGCGAGAACCAATGAGAGGCGGAGCTTGGGGAATCAAGACAGGTTTGTGGAGCAGTGCCTCATTTACCCTAATGGACCAGCCTCCACCAGCTGCTTCCGCAAAGGAGGCAGCTACCTCTGTGGTTGAAGGCTGACTGGAGTTTGAGCCGCTGACTTCCAAGGAGGTTGCTGTAAATATATGTGCAAAACATAATTGCCCTGCTCTTAAGCCAGAAAAGGCTACCAGAGCTGCTTACAGTCAAATGGTTAAAAAAAAACAAGGCAGTCCCCACCCATGGGCTTACAAATACACAATTAAAACACACAGTACAAAGGGAATGGCGAGGGGAAAGGGGAAAGAAGCAAATTCAAGCACCAGTTCTTGAAGCTCTTAACATGATTGTGAAGAAAAGCTAGGGAACATGTTTGGCAACTTTTGATGGTAACTTAGAATAGTACAGTCATACCTCGGGATAAATACGCTTCAGGATAAGAATTTCGGGTTGCGTTTCGCCGCTCGCACATGCGCAGACGCTCAAAATGACGTCATGCGCATGCATGGAAGTGGCAGCACGTGCAGTCACGTCTTACGTTCTATTCAGGATGCGAACGGGGCTCCGGAATGGATCCCGTTCGCATCCCAAGGTACCACTGTATAGGCCATTGAGCTATTATATATAGCTCAATGAATGGCAATTTCCATATCTTTCCATTGCTTCAGTCCTTGCCATATTTTTCTAAATTATTTGAAATCTCATCTTTGGGGTGTGGAAATTGTTTGAGCTGAAAATATGCAGCCATTTGTTCTCATCATATTGTTTGGGGTCCTTGGTGCAGGATTTAGATTGGTGTGGGTTGGTAGGTTTTGTTTTCTTGTTAGCATAGATAAACACACAGCCCTGCAAACCTTCTGATGGTGAAAGAAAAACCTTGTCTTTCATAGGAGAAGGCCCCAACCTGTATGTCTAACCAGAGTGCCTCTTATATGGAATGTGAGCTTGGGAACCCTATGAAACGTGGAACACAGGTGAGGTTCAGATCTGCACCACCACTCCCTCCCCTCCATGCTTCTTTCACAGCTCTTATTTTCACCTTAAACCCACCCCGTTTCTCTCTTCAGGTCCGGTTCTACCTTGTTCTGGAAACCTCAGGCATTACCTTGGAGACCACCGAGCTGGAAGTAGGGCTACAACTTAGCACGTGAGTAGGGCGTCCCTCCCTCCCCAGAGCTGAGCTTGCTAGATCCAAAGCAAAAGCACATTGCAGGAGTTCCTCCGCAAGCAATGCAAGACCTGTACAAGCTTATTTGAGTAAATTTACAAATGATGGCCCCGAGCTCAGATCTTGCAAGGTCAGCCTCCAAAAATATAAACTGCTAAGCAACTTGCGTTTGCTTATGTTTTTGGAACTCCTTGATTAATCTTTTACTATCATCAGGGGATTGTAGAAATTAGGTCAGGGGAGGCTGCAGTAGGAGTCAGGCAGTTTATCAAGGGAAAGAGAGGGTACAGGTAGCAGAGATTGGCATGTGGGGGTATCAGTCCCTGTCGTTGGGCTACTTCCATCCAAACTGGTGTTTATTGCAGCTGTATTCTGCAAAATATTCTTGACCAGTGCTGTTTTTCAGGGGATACTCGAGGGCACGCAGTATTGGCACCTATTTTTGTTGTTAAAAAGTGTGGCACTTATTGTAAACGTGGTGAGTTTTCTAGGCAAAAAAGCACTGTTCTTGACAAAATAATTGCTGCTTTATTAGTTGTTCTGCCATACTTCCCCAGTAGGGACACGGGTGGCACTGTGGTCTAAAGCACCGAGCCTCTTGGACTTGCTGATCAGAAGGTCGGCAGTTCAAATCCCCACGACGGGGTGAGCTCCCATTGCTCTGTCCCAGCTCCTGCCAAGCTAGCAGTTCAAAAGCATGCCAGTGCAAGTAGATAAATAGGTACCGCTGCGACGGGAAGGTAAATGGTGTTTCCATGCAATCTGGCTTCCAACACTGTGTCCCGTTGCGCCAGAAGCGGTTTAGTCCTGCTGGCCACATGACCCAGAAAGCTGTCTGTGGACAAACGCTGGCTTCCTTGGCCTGAAAGCTAGATGAGCGCCACACACCATAGTCGCCCTTGACGGGACTTAACCGTCCAGTGGTCCTTTATCGTTACCCTACCTTTACTTCCCCAGTGCTACCACACTGCAGTCCAGAGGGCATTTAGTACAACAAAATTAAACCATAACTACTGTTGTAAAAAAAACTTACAGATGTCAGCAGCATATGCACTGAAAGGAAGCATTGTGACTGCCCCGAAATCTTGTAGGCACAAACAATATTGAAAGTGAACTTGCATATGATCACCATGATAGCATCACGAACACTAATCAGCATGAATGTGCAATAAAACAGGATGTCTGGAGAGACCTGTAAGCTAAACTCCTGCAACTCTCTTCTCTCCCACAGGATCTCGGAGCAGCCTGGGTTGGCCCCAGTTCAAGCACGTGCCCATGTGATCATGGAACTTCCTCTCTCTGTTTCTGGGTAAGGGTCACATGAGGGTAGTTCACACCCAGTTCAAGTTAACACGACTTCATTGTCAGAGTGTTAAAATGTTTTGCACCTGCTGAGAGATGCCTCCAGAACAGAAGCATTCTTGAAGCATGCATGATAAAAAGCCACCTGGAATTTAATACAGTGGTACCCAGGTTCTCAAACTTAATCTGTTCTGGAAGTCCGTTCCAAAACCAAGATGCGTTTTCCCATAGAAAGTAATGCAGAATGGATTAATCCGTTCCAGACTTTTAAAAACAATCCCTAAAACAGCAATTTAACATGAATTTTACTATCTAACGAGACCATTGATCCATAAAATGAAAGCAGTAAACAATGTACTGTACTATAACATAATTAAGACAGTATTTTATTTTAATTGATAAAAATTAAAATTACATTTTTTTCTTACCTGCTCTAATGATAGTCATTGTTTGGATGGGGGGATTATATCCATTTCCGCAGTCACACAATCAATCAATCAGTAGCTGAACTGGGTTCCACACAGTCACAAAAACAAATTAAACTAAAAAGCATCAAAAACAAAAATGCAAAATAAATAGCAAAAACAAAAGTGCTAAACTTAATCTGTTCCGAAAGTCCATTTGACTTCTGAAATGTTCAAAAACCAAGGCACAGCTTCTGATTGGTGCAGGTGCCCCGGAAACAAAAGCCAACAGCCGCATTGGATGTTAAGCTTCCAAAAAATGTTCGAAAACTGGAACATTTACTTCTGGGTTTTTGGAGTTTGAGAACCAAGGTTTTTGAGAACCAAGGTACCACTGTATTTGCTCATGGATCATTCTTTAAAAATCTACCTTGTATTTTAAATTTTGATATAACAATTCCCGCATGTCATTCTTCCCTGAAGCCCATTCCAAAATGCTCCAATGGTGGAAAAGTTGCATTGTAAAAGGAATCGCACGCAAATGTGTTAGATATGCGTATTTTGTTCATAAGAGTACGTTGGGTTGCCTTGATACACAAGTCAGTCCCCGCTCCCAGCCTGGCTTGACCTTCTCTGCCAATCATAGACATTCACATAGATCTTTTCTCCACTTATGGGTGGTGAACTGCACACCAAAATAAACTGGTTGTGTCCTGAATCATTGGTACTAGGGGCAGTGCCATATTTTCATATAAGCTAATCAAGCTATAGCTTAGGGCCCCGCTCTCTTGCGGCCCCCCAGAAAATTTAAAGGGGGGGGACTGGATGTACATTTCCAATATATAAGATGAAAAACAAATAAAATAAAACCTACATACCGTACCTATTAGGTCCATAAATTACCATGTAGCATATATTCAACACAAAAAACAGCGGCAATTTGTTGTTGACAAAGGACAGCTGGACATATAAAGGACAACTGGACACATAAAGGGCCCCATTACCTTCAGTAGCTTAGGGCCTCATCAAACCTAAATCTGGCCCTGACCAGGGGACCTGTTCCCATGGCCAAAGAGAATAAATCGAAAAAGCTACACTGCTTGTGCACAAAACTCAATGCACATCCATACAGAGCAGATTAACAGAGACTGAGGTCACATCCACCCCATACTTTTGAAGCTTTCTTATACCTCTTTGACCGTCATGGCTTCCTCAGAGAATCTTGGGAACTGAGGTTTGTTCAGGGCGCTGAGAGATGTGTGGGACCTGTCACAGAACTGCAATTCCCAGCAACTGTGATGTGGCCTGGGCTTCTGTTTCTCCAGCTTCCCATGCACCCTCATCTAATCATCTGTGGCGTAATGCTTAGAGTATTGGACTAGGACCTTGGAGAGCAGGGTTTGAATCCCCTCTCAGCCACAAAGCTCACTGGGCGACCTTGGGCCAGTCACCGTCTCTTAGCCTAACCCTACCTCGCAGAGTTGTTGTGAGGATGGAATGGGGATGATGACGACGACAGCCGCGTACATCACCTTCAGCTCCTTGGGAGAGAATAAATAATCTAATTAATAAACGAGCTCTTCTTTTTCTCTGCAGAGTGGCCGAACCAAATAAGCTCTTCTTCAGCGGGGTGGTACGGGGCGAAAGTGCCATGAAGAGGGAAAGCGAGGTGGGCAGTCCTGTGCTCCTCCAAGTGACGGTGAGTGACACTTGTCCCCTCCAGATCAGAGCCTTGAGCCGTCGTTCGCAACCCCTTCAATCAGAATATTTCTAGAGTATCGTAGCCAATAACTGCTGGAACGCAGGAGGTTTGGAGGTGGGGGTCTGTTCTGAATAGGGAGTGGGATCTAGGGTGTTTGAGATAAAGAGACTGTGGGTTTTTTGTTTACGGTTACTGTGTCCTCCCTGTGCAACTGCCGATTTGCTTTATTCCTTTCTCTATATATCAATGGGAGCACGTCAAATATCCTGCTCCAATAATCTTAATCCATCAAGCGAACGTTTATTGTGTGTGACTAAAAGCCATTACAAATTCAATTACAGATCCAGCAGGTCAATTAAAACCTGTTAAAAGAAACCCAGAGATATACATCCATTTACAATAAGTCTAATTAATGAATCGCCTGCACAGCATTGTCTTTTGTATAGCTGGCACAAGTACTTTTTTAGCGACTTTAGAAAATAGGGCTGTTTTGCATGTGGCAAGCAGATCACAGCCAGATAATAACCAACATATTTTCACTTCAGGGTTCTGTCCCTGTGGCGGTGCCAGCGTCTGTTCCAAAAATCTCTTTCTGGGGTTTTGATAGTGCTGACAATGGAGAATATAACGGGGGAGATCTTCTCCCTCACCTACCCCACAAATACAAAGAATAATCTTAATCAAAGTTACTTAGATTCATCACGAAATATGTATGTGCCTTTTCAGTGCATATTTATGGATGGTGGGGATTTCACTCGTGTTAATAACAATTGGAGGGGGTACTTAGTCGAGCGTAATGCAAAGCACACAAGTGTAACCTTGTTTATATGGAGTAAAACCCAGGGGGTGGCGCGAGGTTGGAGGAGGAGTTTGCTTCCTTTCAGCACCCAGTTTCCCTTTCCTTCTCCTCCAACACAGCTTGTCCCTCTCTGTCCACACACCAGGTCTCAAACCAAGGCCAGTCCCTGAATACGCTGGGCTCAGCCTTCCTCAACGTCATGTGGCCCCATGAAATTGCAAATGGAAAGTGGCTCCTCTACCCACTGAAGCTGGAGCTATCGACCCAGCCTCAGCATCGCGCGATCTGCAGCCCCAAACCCAACTCACTCAATCTGGCTCTGGTAGGTGCCGTGGGAACTTGACAAACAGGGGTTGCATGCTAAGCAGGTAATGTTGATGATAGCACTCATCTCCCCTCTTCCAGGCAGATGTGTCTTTGATTCTGGTACTAGTTGCCATGGGGTTGTTGTTTCATTAAGGTTCATTTGTCATTTTTATAAAATAGTAGTCAGGTCCTCCCACTGCTGCCAGGTTCTTAATAAATACCTGCTGTTTGTAATAGTGAAAGCACAATTAATATTGTGTATTCATGATTTCTCCTAGGGATGTCCAAACATTGCCCGTTCTTTTTTTGCAGTTATTTCTGCCTTCCTGGGTGGGAAATTTATCTGTAGAAAGGGATGTGGTTTTTTGGTTTTGCATTGATACAAAGTGCACAATTCCTGGTTTTTGTGCTCTGCATCGTATACACAACTGGCAAGTGGATGCAAAGTAGATGGGCCACTGGCCACTCATCTGTTCTTAGGAGACCAGTGTACAGACAACTCTGCCATAGCCTAACTCCCTCCAGCAACTAACAAGGTGGGAGAGGAGGGGCTAGGATTGCTTCCTCTCCCAATCAATGAAGATTTGTTAACTGGTTAAATCACAGATCATTCCCTGTCCACAAGGATTTGTTTTATGCTGTTTCCCATACCAAGACACGGTCAGGTTCTAATCTCCTCTGTTCAAAAGCCCCATCTTCTGTGTGCAGTTGGCCTTACAAAAGCACAGGGCTGGCTTTGTTTCACATTCTTCCTAATTCAAAAGCACAGACCTACCGTTATTTTAATTCAGGGGTCAGCAAACTTTTTCAGCAGGGGCCGGTCCACTGTCCCTCAGACCTTGTGGGGGGCTGGACTATATTTTGAAAAAATAATAATGAATGAATTCATATGCCTCACAAATAACCCAGAGATGCATTTTAAATAAAAGCACACATTCTACTCATGTAAAAACACGCTGATTCCCGGACCATCTGCAGGCCAGATTTAGAAGGCGATTGGGCCGGATCCAGCCCCTGGGCCTTAGTTTGTCTACCCATGATCTGATTCATCAATTAACATGTGTATCAGTTTGCTGGTGGTTTTTCTCTGCCTTGTGTCCGGTGTGTGTGTTTAATGGATCCTTGACAGTTGCCTGCAAATCGGTTGCCTGCTTGAGGCAGCGGTGAGGACCAGTTTTTGGTTTGTGATCAGAAAACGACACATTTCTGAAGTGTCCCCAATCCCTTGCTCTTTTCTTCAGGAGCCTCTTCACCAGGGTAGGAAGAAGCGAGAGGCGGAGCCGCCTGAGGTGCCTGCCAACCGGCCACTGACTTATTGGGGAAAGCAAAAAAATGCCACGTTGGTGAGTGAGATTTTTCACGTTGAAAGCATTACATCTGCCGGCCCTCCACTCAATTTTGCTGTCTCTTAACCTGTTTTTCATTAAACAACAACCTTAAACACCTGGGTTTTGATGGATCACTGATGTGTAGGATATAATTTCTGACAAACCGACTGGTACTAAAATCCTTGATGACTCTTTGCCTCATGCTTCAGGACTGTGCTGCGGGCACTGCTCATTGCCAGCTCTTCCAGTGTCCTCTCTACAGCTTTGACCGTTCAGCTGTGCTCAGCATCTGGGGCCGTCTCTGGAACAGCACCTTCCTAGAGGTTAGTTGGGCTCCCCCTGCTGGATATTAGATGAACAGCAATATGTGTAAACCTCTTGGGTAAAGGTAGAGGTAAAGGGACCCCTGACCATTAGGTCCAGTCATGGCCGACTCTGGGGTTGCGGCGCTCACCTCACTTTAATGGCCGAGGGAGCCAGCGTACAGCTTCCGGGTCATGTGACCAGCATGACTAAGCTGCTTCTGGTGAACCAGAGCAGCACACAGAAATGCCGTTTACCTTCCCGCCGGAGCAGCACCTATTTATCTACCGTATTTTTCGCTCTATAAGACGCACCTTTTTCCCCTTCAAAAATTAAGGGGAAATGTGTGTGCATCTTATGGAGCGAATGCAGGCTCCTTGGCTTCAGCGATAGCAACGCGAAGCCTCTGAAGCGCAGAGGGAGAGCTCCCCCCGCGCTCTGGAGGCTTTGTGTTGCTTTTGCTGAAGCCGCCTGAAGCCCCTGGACCGCAGCGGGAACTCCAGCTGCGCTCCGGAGGCTTCAGGCAGCTATCAGCAAGCCTTCGGAGAGCAGCAGGAGTTCCTGCTGCACTCCGAAGGCTTGCGAATAGCCGCCTGAAGCCTGAAGAGTGAGAGGGGTCGGTGCACACCAATCCCTCTTGCTCTCCAGGTTTCGCTGGAGAGGCGCTGCAGTTTTCCCTCTCTGCGCAGCACCCTTCAGTGAAGCGAGAGGAGAAATGGAAGGGGCTCCGTTTCTCCTGCCACTTCGCTGAAGGCGCGCTGCGCAGAGAGGGAGAGGATTCCCCCCCCCCCGTTCTCCCCCTCCTATGGTCCGGTGCGTCCTATAGAGCGAAAAATACGTTTTTGCACTTTGACGTGCTTTCGAACTGCTAGGTTGGCAGGAGCAGGGATCGAGCAATGGGAGCTGACCCTGTCGCGGGGATTCGAACCGCCAACCTTCTGATCAGCAAGTCCTAGGCTCTGTGGTTTAACCCACAGCGCCACCCGCGTCCCTTAAAAAACCTCTGGGGTAGACTGCGCAAATTAAGGACTTCTCCCTGCCCAGCTAATTTCAGGTCACAAATAATAGGTTTTAGGGAGTACCTCCATGAATTGTGTGGCTTGGCTCACAGCGGTAATTGCTTGCAATCCTAGATGAGAGAGTTCCACTTAAAAGGGTCATTTAGAACCTAAAATGAAGTCATGCATCGGACGCAAGGGAACCCTTGCAATACTCATGGCAATGGTTTTCAGTATCCGAACTGCAGGCTTGTCCATTCCCTGGGATAACTCTGTTGGTAGAGCAGGGGGCTCTTAATCTCAGGAAATGGGTTTGAGCTCCACATTGGGCAAAAGATTCCTGCATTGCAGGCAGTTGGGCTAGCTGGCACTCAGGGTCCCTTCCAACTCTACAGTCCTATGATTCTATGACTTTTGGTTGTTCTGAGCCCTCTTCCCTTTTGCCTTTAGGAGTACTATGACACCACATCGGTGGAAGTGATCGTTCGAGCCAGCATCACTGTGAAATCTACCATCCGCAACCTGGTTCTGAAGGATGCCACAGCGCAGGTACCGGAGCCTCACGGCTGAGCTCATTTGCCCCTTGTTATTTTCCTTGCACAGTCTGAAATACTTTGCAGCCAAGGACAGTTTGTATCTTTAGGTTGTGAACTGCCCTGTGATCTTTGGGCGAAGAGCAGCGTACAAATTAAATAAATGAATAAATGATTTCTACAGTTATGCCTTTCTCACTGTCCCCCCCCCCCCCGCCCCGTTGCTGCCGGGTCAGAGAGAAGAGGAATCTTAACTGAAATGATATGATGATGATGAATTTATTTATTTATTTATATTATTATTTATACCCCGCCCATCTGGCTGGGTTTCCCCAGCCACTCTGGGTGGCTTCCAATAGAATATTATGTCTATTAAACATTAAAAGCTTCCCTAAACAGGGCTGCCTTCAGATGTCTTGTAAAAGTCTGGTACAGTAGTTCTTTTTCTCTTTGACATCTGATGGCAGGGCATTCCACAGGGTGGGCGCCACTACCGAGAAGGCCCTCTGCCTGGTTCCCTGTAACCTCACTTCTCGCAGGGAGGGAACTGCCAGAAGGCCCTTGGTGCTGGACCTCAGTGTCTGGGCAGAAAAATGGGGGTGGAGATGCTCCTTCAGGTATACTGGACCGAGGCCGTTTAGGGCTTTAAAGGTCAGCACCAACACTTTGAATTGTGCTTGGAACCGTACTGGGAGCCAGTGTAGGTCTTTCAAGACCGGTGTTATGTGGTCTCGGCGGCAGTTCCACATCTCCTTGTCCCAGTAAAATATGCAATGCCCATTTAAAAAGGGAGGGGGGAAGGATACGAAAATGAGGAGCGAGATACTGTCCAAGAAAACCAGCCTTTTAAATCAAATATGGGCTTTTATGCACGTAGCCCAGAGTGTTGCTAACAGTATTGGCATGGGATGCCATGCAGACCGAATCTCCTCCCTATGCCAATAGCAGTAGCAGACTGTCCAAAGAGACTACCAGTCTGTAAACACCTTTAGTTTGATCACAGTCTTTTGTTTCAGAAAGTGCCAGTGATAGTGGTGCCTGTTCCTCGGAGAGGGGGGTGGTTTTACAGCTGAGCTGAGCAGTGGCTCAGGCTGCCATTCTTCACCACATTTTGGTTTGCTCTCTCACTTTCTGCAACCTTGCTTTCCCCCCCCAGATCCCAGTGATGGTCTACTTGGATCCCAGCGTAGCCGTGGCACGAGGCGTGCCTTGGTGGATCATCCTCATTGCGGTACTAGCTGGGATCCTAGTGCTGGGGCTGCTCGTCTCCATCTTATGGAAGGTGAGCTGGCCTGGAGAAAGGGGCAGCGGTGACCAGGGTGGTTCTGTGGGGCTTTGCGCCTCTTCCAGGGGTTGTGGACTCTCCTTCCTTGGAGGTTTTTAAGCAGAGGTTGGATGGCCATCTGTCATAGATGCTTTAGCTGAGATTCCTGCATTGCAGCGGGTTGGACTTAGATGATCCTCAGGGTCTCTTCCAACTCCACAATTCTACGATTCTGTGATGCTGGAGCAGACTTTACAAGGTGGTTCCAGTTTACTTCATCACACTAAAATTTGAATCTGGACAACAAAGTCCATTATTGCAAGTAACTGCCTTGATAAAGACCCTTGGAGATTATTCCCATTGCAACAAATGTCCAGCCCCTAGAGGCCATTCCCCACAGCCGCAGAGCCCCGAGGTCACATTCTTTCAAAACAATTGGACTGTATCAGATGGGATTTACATTTTGAAGTTAAGTGCCTGGTGGCAGGGAACCCAAAGCCTCTACCCTGTGGAGAATGATGGGAGATGGAGTTCGCTTGAGTGGTACCCATGAACACAGATGAGTCTTAGGATGCCATCCTGTTGCTGCTGCTGCTCAGGCCTTTAGACCCCATCCCTGGAGACAGGTCATATGCAAAGCTGATAACGCCATTCATACTTCTGCTCGCTCCCAGTGCGGCTTCTTCAAGAGGACAAGCCGGGAATCCAAATACTCCACGAACTATTACCGGGCTCGGCTGGCCATACAGCCGTCTGATGCTGATAGGCAGGCCATGGAGGCCTAGCGGTAATGCCCGGCCTCGCCAGCTGACTGACCCCCTGCTTGTACGTGTGTAGGAGTGAGGGCACAGATGTGGGAATGGGAATAACAAGTGATGGAGTGCTCTTAATGTGAGCTCACTAAAAATATTAGTGCATGTGCAAGCAAACAGCAGGCCAGTGGACTTCCAAGTATGCCCTCAGTGCACCTGGGAGTGTGTGTGTGGAGGCCTTTGCAGATCGTAACATACAAGAGTGATTACCATTATTTTGTGCATGTGGATTTCTTGGTGGGTTGCAAGGATGTTGACTGTTAACAATACATAGCCATGAAATAATCCACGGATAGTCAAGGACTTCAGGAAGCACTAGCACCAAAAGCCTAAATGCTGTTGGAAATGACAGCGTGTGAGTGTGTAGCAGAATATAATTCTGCAAATGCCTTGAGAGTTGGGTGCATGCATGCAAAAAAAGCAGGAGTGTGAAGTACTTAGCTGCTACTCAGGTATATACTCACAAGTGCAGATGACAGTCTACAAAATCCTCGGGCTAGTTAAGATAGCTGGTGCCTGGATGGCATTGCTGGGCACCCAATGAGGCCCCAAACCCACTGCAAACCCCTGAAGCCCCCCAGCTCTACTGCGTGTTCTCCTTAGTGGCACTGCTTGTTCTAAGTAAGTCAGCAGCTAGAGGCAAGGACAAGGAGCTGCTGCCTCTCCTCTCTCTCTTCTCTCTGGATGCACTGGATCCAAAGTGGGAGGGCAAGTGGATGGACAGCGGTGACAACAAGGAGTAGGCAGGACCACTGAGGACATCCTGCCCTGATCCCACCTAACTCTCAGATCGTGGAGCTGATACCGGGTTTGTGTGTGAATGTGCAAGGATTAGAAACTATGTCACAACAGGGGCACACCCAGATGGTTTTACTTTATGGGAACAGATACCCTAATTCAGCACTTCTGAACCTCCAGTGTCCAGACATGCAGGTCCTTCTATCTGGTCTTGTTTTATCTCCTCCATCCCTGCAAGCTACCACAGCTGACAGGATGTGTACTGCCAAACTGCCTGGCTTCCCATTAGGACTGTCGGAGTATCTGCCTTTGTCCAGAATATTTGTGTGTAGTAGCGTTGGGGAACCTGTGACTCACCAGGTGTTGATGGGACTCTTTCTTCCACCAATGCTAGCCAGCATGACCAAGGGCCAGGAATGATAAGAGCAGTAGTTCAACGACATTTGGAGGGGACATTTCCACCCTAGGTTCCACCCTACAAGCCCAGAATATGGTAAACGTCCCCCTGGATGTGGTGCAAAAGTGCAAGACGCTTTTCAGTAATCGGCTAGCAAATGCACACAGGAGGGGAAATCTGTAGATGGCTGCAAGGGGGTGAGAGTGCCCTGTTGAATGAATCCTCACAAGTGTTTGTGTGTGTCAAAAGTGCATGCTAATAGGCTATGTCTTCCTGATGCATGGGGTGTGGTGAGCAGGCTCCATCCCCGGGGATGAAGAACGGGGTCTGGATAGGACCCATGGGAACATACATCATCGCCGCTGGTTACAGCTGCTGGATGCAGCCCATGGGTCGGTGGCAAAACAGCGGGCATCCTGCCCTGCCTTCCAGCAGTTCCATTGGGGAATCTGTTCGTTACTTTCATAGATTGAATATTGTGGCTTCTTCTTCCCCAGCTTGGCTTCTTCAAACGTGCCCGCTACCATGAAGACAAGGTGCCGCAGTATCACGCAGTCAAGATTCCTCACCAGGAGCGCCAACTTTTCCGCGAGGAGAAGACGGGCACCATTACCAAGAAGGACTGGGTCACTAACTGGAATGCGGAGGGCGATGGTCACGTTCCTGTCTCGGCCTAGATACATCCCTGCCCTGGCCTCCCTGTGGCATGCTTCTGATTGGCAGAGAGAGCTGCTACTGGATAAACCTTTGTGTTGGCACCAGCCTGGCTGATAGTAGGGTTCCTTGCCTGCTCTCCTCTCTGGAAGATCTGCGGACACTGGACTGCCCCTTTCTTGTGGGAGATTCAGCAGAGATTCAGGGGGACACGTGCTTAACCATGGAGGTTGCGGTGACAGATTCTGCAAGGCCAAAGGTTGCTAAGGATATTTTTTTCTGGTATTCTGCTTTTCCTTGCAAAGCTGGGCAGCAGCCGATGCAGAAAACTGAACCAGCAGTAGGAGGAACCTTCTATTTCTAGTTTCCTAAAGCGTTATCTGCTGGGAACAGAACTTTGTATTTTGCTGCTGAGAGTTGGAATAGCATCTATCACTGTCTACCCCGCTGCAAATGGGGCATACATTTGCTACAAGACCTGATTCTTTGGGAAAGAGAAGAACCTGGATTCCTTGGGTGTGTTAGAAGGGTTCAAAGCCAAAAAAACACACACACACCCAACCACCCCTGGTGAAGAAGACGAGAGGTTCCCCCTTCCTGAGCAAGATGACTTTCTTCATGCTAGCTTTTTGTAATTTATTTTGTCTAACTAATATTGGAGAGCCTTGATGCCTGAAGTTGAGAACTAGGTTGGGTTTAAGACAACATGCTTTAGTGCAGGAGTGAATAACCTGCAGCCTTCCATATGATGTTACACTCAAGCTCCCATCAATCCCAACCAGTGCTGCCAAAATGGTGTAGGATGATGGGAAATTGTAGTCCAGCAACATCTAGAGAACCACATGTTCTCCATCCCTGGTGCAATAGCAGAAGTTCTTCAATAACATTGGTGGCTCTCTGGTATGGTTTGCAGCTTTCTCCAAAAACAAGGAAGGCTATTGTCATTCTGGAAGGATATCAATGCCAGTCTTAATCATATGCTAATAACCACAGCCTGGGTAGGGTGCGAAGTGGCAAGGGCAGGGCCTGCAGGAAAAACATTTTAAAAAATTGTGCCACACAGTGAATGCAGAAGGATACCTCCCAGCCCCTTCGCTCTCTTCCTCAGTCACCATATGGCAGTGGCAACTTCAGTTGGGTTGTCACACATGCGCGCTTACACACACACAAACCTCCTTCCTTGGTGGCCTAGACAACTCCCCTACCTCTTTGCAGACAGTTCCTTCTTTGTAACATTGGTAGGCAGTGACCTGCCTCGCTAGGGTAGCGTGAGGATGATGAGCAGGATAAGCAGAATACTTCACAGCCCTTATTGAAAACGTCACTGAAATTTTGGATGATAAAAATGGCAGCCAGGGTCAAGCCCCCTACCCTTCTCTACCACACCCTCCAACATTTCTCCGATGAAATAGGGACATCCCATTCCATAATGATGATTTTACTATTTATAGCCCAAACTTCTTACTGGGTTCCCCCAGGCACTCCAGGCAGCTTCCAACATATATAAAAACATAATGAAACTTTTTATATATATAAAAAAACCAAACACCTTCCCTATACAGGATTGCCTTCTGACAGCTCGGGGGTCAGATAACCCTCCAACATTTCTCCAATGAAAATAGGGACATCCTAAGGAAAAGTGAGACATTCCGGGATCAAATCAGAAACTGGGATGGTTTCTAAATCAGGGATGTCCCTGGAAAATAGGGACACTTGGAGGGTCTGATCTGTTGACGTAGATGTTTAATGCAGGAAGAAAATGGATTTCTTTAAATCATAAAGTATCAGAAGTTGGTGGGTATAGGAGACACTGGCTTTCCAGTATCCTTACTAAAAGGGTTCACTGCTCTAGAACCTCTTCTGACCACTCTTCAGGAAGAACAGGTGCCTATAACCCGTTTTTTACTGGTGCCCTTAGCTCCTACATTCAACAAGCTGTGCCTTTTCCAAGGTCGGGGGGAGGGATGTTAATACTAATCTGAATTTTGCGGGAAGGACTGTCCCTTCCAATCTCTTGTCAGACGCAAATGGTGACAATTTGCAGACGGCCATTGCTTTCAGATCTACCTTTTTGTGATTGCTGATTGTAAAATAACAAAACTAACGTTCCCAGGATTCTCTGCGACTCTTAAAGTGGTATAAAGAGTGCTTTAAATGTAGGGCGTGTGGATGTGACCAGAATCACCAGTGGGTAGAATAAGGTGTGGAAAAAGCAGGGCAAGAGCTTTCCACCTCTTTACTGAAACTCATAAAAGCAAGACCTTGCAGCAAACCCATTCAACCCACTGTTAAATGGCTTTTGGAAGGGAGGCCAGAGTTAGTGCAGTAGAAACGACAAAGGACTATGGCATTTGAAAAGACTACAGATCCACCGAAGCATAAAGTCTCCAACCCACACTCCAGTTTATGCCATGCAATAAATCTGGTAATCTTTATTGTGCTGCAAACCTCTTTGCTGTTAAATGACTGCTGTGATCAGGGTCTCGGCTGCAGTGGGTTTATGTTGCATTTCTCAGTAGGTTGGCAGCAAAATGGAAATGCCTGGCTGATAAAAGGAACACAACTCCCCTACTTGGGCTAAGCAGAAAAGACTGGAAACTCCCAAACACAACCTCCTGCGTGGTATCTGGATAACGCTGCTTGAAAAACACAGAAGGCACCTGTGGATTGAAAACCAGCCTCCTGCTGATGAAGTACAATACATTAAGCATGAAACTTCTTAATAACATATCTGGACAGAAATCCCTCGGGATGACATTCAGTTGCAAGGGACACTGAGGAAAGGCTGTAGGCACACTTGGGTTGTTTATTTTTCCTTGTCATGCTCTCAAACAACTGCATGTTATGCCAAAACACAACAGCTACGATGGAGGGGCTCACAGCATTCACACTCCCAAGAAGGACTTGGGTCTACCATAGTTGGAGCCTTGGATTCTCTCTCTCCAGTCTGTTGCTTCCAGCTCTGAACAAGGGTCTTTGTCTTTCCAACTACCAGACAGTTAAGGGAGGGGGCCTACCAATTTGTCTTAATGGAACCATTTGCTGGATCCAGGAATTAGAAGGGTCTCTGCATAACAGCCTACTCCACCCCAAACGATACACCATTTGTTTCCAAAACGTGCAACAGAAGACGCTATTGAAACCACAACAATTGCATTGAGGATTTTAGCCATAAATAAAATTAGTTCACATGGTAACATCAGCACAGCATATGGCAGAGAGAGCAAATTTACTGTCCATACATGACTTGGGGCTGGGTGTGCAAGAGGGACAATCAATTAGGCAGATGGAGCAACTGAGGAACTTGAAGGAACAGATTCAAAAAGCTCAGCTACCCTGATTTTGGCACCTCCTCTGTAGGGACCCAGATCTGTTATAATAGGGTACCTTACAGGGGGTTTTGGACTACACCTCCCATCATCCCTTGCTTTTGGCTATTTTGGCTTAGACTGATGGGAGTTGGGAGTCCTACATATTCGGCAGGCACCAAGTTTGCTTCCCCTGTGTAAAAATGTGAAGTATTTCACAAATGAACAAACCATTGCAATGTGCGCCTATAAGCACCTCAATTTCCCTCTCTGTTTATTTGCCTCAGAAATGCAACATGCTCACCTATGTGCTCCAGAAAGTGTAACTGGTGGTTGGAGTTATTGACAGATCTGGCCCTTTAGTGCACATGACAATAAATAAATAAAGTTCCAGGTCGTTAATACAATCCTATATAGCTGTTAATTGCAAAAATGACCTGCTTATTCTCTTGCTCTACTTTCTGGAATATTGTGAAAACTTTATTCTAGCAGAAGGAGACTGTAATAATCATTTAACAGGAAGAGTGGGTGGGGACTGAGGAAGATTTAATGGCAGCAAGCCTAGAGGAAGCTAGGAAAAAGCAAATATGATCAAGACTAATTCACAGCAACATATGGACAAGATGTAAACAAAGCTTATATTTAATGTACAGCCCCACCTGCCTAGAGAGACAGGGTGAGTTACAGCAATTTTAAAAAATCTTGTTTAAAAAAGTCTTGTAAAGGTAAAGGGACCCCTGACCATTAGGTCCAGTCGTGGCCGACTCTGGGGTTGCGGCGCTCATCTCGCTTTATTGGCCAAGGGAGCCGGTGTACAGCTTCCGGGTCATGTGGCCAGCATGACTAAGCCGCTTCTGGCGAACCAGAGCAGCGCATGGAAATGCCGTTTACCTTCCCGCCGGAGCGGTACCTATTTATCTACTTGTACTTTTGATGTGCTTTCAAACTGCTAGGTTGGCAGGAGCAGGGACCGAGCAATGGGAGCTCACCCCGTCGCGGGGATTCGAACCGCCAACCTTCTGATCGGCAAGTCCTAGGCTCTGTGGTTTAACCCACAGCGCCACCCGCGTATATTCAGGACTATTTTTCAGCTTGAGCTCACTAGCGCTCAGCTCCTGACTTCTCAGGTGGGCACCATTGCCATTCTAAGAGAACAAGAGAGAAGTTCATGGTGAGCTCCAGCACCTCTTTTTCTAGAAAAATAACACTGCATATATACATATTCACACTTTACACTCTTAATTAATGCTTAACATATCTTGTATATACACAAACAAAAGTACTGTGTGAGCTGCCCTGGTGAAAGATTTTGAGGTGCAGTTGTGACATAATGCTATATCAAATCATGACTCTGCAAATGCAATAGGTTTCCTTCTTCAGACAAACCATAAGCTTGTCCAACCAAGAATGTGTTGGAAATCCTTGGAAACTACGATCCAAGTCTGGGGCAAGTACTCTGGTGAGAAAACCCCAGCAGAGTTCTAACATGGCAAAACATGGAGCCAAGAAAAGTGTGGAAATATTTTAAAACGTGCCCTTTCCAGTGAGTTCCGAAATGTCCCCTTTAATAGTCATTTCCAAAGTATCCCACTTCCCTAGCATGTTTGATAAATTATAAAATGGTTTACTTACAAAACTCTTCAAAGGTCAGTCATGTGCTTTTCCATACAGCAGTCAGAAAAGATGCATGGGCTTTAAAATGTAGCTGACTTGCCAAAACTATTGGTATAGAAGAGTACTTGTTTCAGACTCCCTTCTAGTCTGAAAAAGGCTGGTAAAAGCCAGGCAGCTGAAGGGAGCAGTCCATGTGGAAACGTTTATATAATTTAGCAGAGTTTAAATGATCCCCTGTTTGAGTTTATGCAGCGACAAGCGGGTTGCTAACTCGTTTGAGTCCTATCAATAATTATACCTTCCTGGTTGATAATCCCTTTCTGCCCCTCTTAAAGAAAACACACATGAATCTGAATCATATTAACATAAAATACTTTACTATCAGATTCATTCAGGTTTATAGAGTTGTTCCTGAAGGCAGGCTTAGGTTACATAACAGATAAACTATATACCTGATAGTAGTGAGTCATGAGAAGATTGCATCTGAGCAGTTACCAGTTAATACTCCTTGCAGCAACTGACCAACGGACAAAACTGCCTGCTACATAGAGGCAGTTAGACCTCTCTTGGAATGTTGGACTTGACTGACAGCTTTATATCCCACAGTCCAGAGCTGCTCACACACCAAATTCACATGCAGAGGTGAGGAGAAATGACATAGGCTAAGCTTAGCAGGACAGCTGACTCTACTGCTTTAACCCCTTATTGTATTAATTAGACTCAAGCTTGTTAGTTATTAGAGGCTGGCTACCCTACAGAATGAACTCAGCTATACAGTAGTACCTCGGAAGTCGAACAGAATCCGTTCCGGAAGTCCGTTCTACTCCCAAAACATTCGGAAACCAAGGCGCAGCTTCCAATTGGTTGCAGGAAGCTTTGGAAGTTGGGTTCCAAAGAACGTTCGCAAACCGGAACACTCACATCCAGGATTGCGGTGTTCAGGAGCCAAAACGTTCAACTCGCAAGGCATTCGGGATCCAACGTATGACTGTACAGCCACAAATAAAACATTTTAAGTGCAATATGCAATATGATACCAGATGGCGATGGTGAGCCTTATGGAGAACTCAATGCGTTTTTCAAAATGCTTTTAAAAAAGCATATTCAGAATGGTTTTTATATGTCTAGATTCTACCCAGAGGTTCAAACAACATGCTAAGCCAAACCATAGCTTAGCTCAGAGCACATTAGCAGGGCTGGACAAGCAGAAAAAGCCGCCACGATGTTCTCCCTGGGAACTGCACGCTTGTGCTTTTGCACTAAGGCATGTTTTGGTTTAGTGTTATGTGTGACCTGGGCCTGATAGTTGCCAGGATTAACAGCGCAACCCTACAGCGCGATCCTATATATGTCTACTTAGCAGTAACCCACTAAGTTTAGGACTGCACTGTAAACAGGCAGCCCTGTTCAGGGAAGCTTTTAATGTTTGATGTATTACAGTATTTTAATATTTTTTTGGAAGCCGCCCAGAGTGGCTGGGGAAGCCCAGCCAGATGGGCGGGGTATAAATAATAATAATTATTATTATAAAGAAGAACTTGAGCACTACATAGCTTGGAGCCCAAAGACCAAGCTCCATTCACAAACTCAGTTTTCATGAGCAAATCTAGTCCAACATCCTGTGTCCCACAGCGCCAATCAGGTATTTCCAAGAAGCCCCCAAGCAGCACATGAAGGCAACCCTCTTCTCCTGCTGTTGCTCCTCAGGAACTGCCATTCACAATTCTAAACTGCCTCTAAACATGAAGGTTCTATTATTCATCATGCATAATAGCCATTGATACGTTTATGAATTTGCCTAATCACCTTTTAAAGCCATTCAGACGTTTCATGTGACAGTGAATTCCACAGGCTAGTAATCACCTCTTTTCGTTTGTTCCAATCTACTGGGAATCAAAACCATCATGCCTAGCAGCCGGCATGCAAATAAATTAATAAAAAAACCAGTGATTTTTTTTTAAAAAGATAAGGCAAGAGAAGAAGGGAAGTCATTGATATTTTAAGGATGTAAAAATGAGTACTTTAAATTGTAAAACAGAAAATATAAAAGTGTGTGTGTATAAAATAATAATAATAATAATAATAATAATAATAATAATAATAATAATAATAATAATAATAATAATAATAATAATATTCGCGGCACATTGCCATGGAAATGCTGTTTACGCGGTTTTGGGGTACCCCAAACAACTGTTGTGCCTTTAACAAAGATGGCCGTCTCGGCTTCGCTTGGGCTTCTCTATGACAAACCGGAAGTGGCTTCGTGGACTCCTTCCTTTTTTTCCCCGGAAGTGATTCAGCTTTCTTTCGCGTCTCCGAGATGGACGTCGGAGAGAGGCAGGAGCCGTCGTAACTTTCGGGAATGGTGAGGCATTGTCGGGGCAACCTTTTCTAAAACCTCGGGGGTGGACCACCGTTAAGCGGGGGAAACATTTGCCACAGTCGGTTAAGGGCGAAAACGGCAGGGCCGAGGGTGGAAAGCGCATGCGCGACAGCGGACGAGGAGGGAGGGCGGCGGCGCTGCGCAGGCGCGCGACGCCTGTGTTTCTCCCCTCGCGTCGGGTTCGAGCGAGATTCAGGGCGAAACCCCTGCAAGCCTGCGCAGATTGAGTAGCTTCTGCCCGCGCTCTCCCGCCGATTGAAATGTGCGTTGCCATACGTCCGGAATTTCCCGGACGCAAACCTCGGGAATCGCTCAGAAACGTCCAAGTTCTTCGAGATTTTGCAAAGCTCAACAACTTTTATGTCTGGATTTTCACTTTTTGAAATACGGCAACCCTAAACTGATTTAATTAGCTGTCCATGCCCTTGAGTGGAGCTTTGAATTTTTGTCTCCCCGGCGCAAATTTGTCACACTAGCTGCTTCACCACAGAATAAGAGTTGGAAGGGAATGCAGGAATCTTTTGCCCAGTGTGGGATTTGAACCCACGACCCTGGGTTTAAGAGCCCTGGCTCAGCTGTCCCAGCTGTAAACAACACAACCCTGTTAAAACTTAAAAATACGGTTGCCATATTTCAAAAAGTGAAAACCCAGATGGAAAAGTTGTTGAGTGCTTTTTTAAAAAATGGAATTCTACAAAATTTCCGGCATGAGCTGCCATTTGGATTTTCCTGGAGATTTCAGTGGTTTCCGCCTGGACACTGTTTCCGACGACCGTCTATGTCTGGGAAATTCCGGACGTATGGCAGCTCTATAAATGTTTGGGCATGCCGTAAACTGAGTGAATGTGTAGCAACTACCAGCCGCAGATATACCCTTTTGGGGGGCAAAGAGTGGGTGGTTGCTGTGCAGCTCCAGGCGGCCTGGACTGAAACTAGTTCTCTGGTGCTAGTTCAGTTGCAGGAGCCCCCCAGGCTCAGTTCCCAGTTAAAGGGATCAGGCAGGGGATGATGTGAAAAGCCACATCGAAATGAAAGTCCTGCTGGATCAGACCAAAGGCCTCCCTAGTCTCAACCTCTGGTTTGCCCCAACGGCCAGCCTGTTTTTAGAATTCTAGAAGGTGGTGCTGGGAGACGACTGCTCAGCCCCACAGCCTTTGCTCTTAGCTATGTGGCTGCTCGATTTTGCACCAGTTGAAGCTTCCAAGTCGTCTTCAAGGGCAGCCCCACATAGGTAAAGGTAAAGGTACCCCTGACCATTAGGTCCAGTCGTGACCGACTCTGGGGTTGCGGCGCTCATCTCGCTTTATTGGCCGAGGGAGCCGGTGTACAGCTTCCAGGTCATGTGGCTAGCATGACTAAGCCACTTCTGGCGAACCAGCGCAGTGCACGGAAACGCCGTTTACCTTCCCGCTGGAGCGGTACCTATTTATCTACTTGCACTTTAACGTGCTTTCAAACTGCTAGGTTGGCAGGAGCAGGGACCGAGCAACGGGAGCACACCCTGTCGTGGGGATTCAAACTGCCAACCTTCTGATCGGCAAGTCCTAGGCTCTGTGGTTTAACCCACAGCACCACCCACGTCCCTTCAAGGGCAGCCCCATGTAGAGCATGTTGAGTAATCATCCTTTTGTGTATCCTGAATGTTCCAGCATTCAGCTTCCTTGGATGGCCCCAAATGTTAGTACTGTATTAGCATTGTGACAATAGATTTGTGGAAGCCATTGCCATGGAAGGTGTTCTCTGTCTAATAATAAAAAGAGTGGCTGAGGACATTTCCTTAGAAGCAAGTTTCTCGGATGGTACATTTCCAGGTAAATGTATTTAGGAATACAGTGGTACCTCGGGTTAAGAACTTAATTCCTTATGGAGGTCCATTCTTAACCTGAAACCTGAGGTACCACTTTAGCTAATGGGGCCTCCTGCTACCACCGTACGATTTCTGTTCTCATCCTGAAGCAAAGTTCTTAAGCCGAGGTACTATTTGTGGGTTAACGGAGTCTGTAACCCGAAGCATCTGTAACCTGAAGCGTCTGTAACCCGAGGTACCACTGTACACAAACAAAGGGTTCTTGTGGAGCACAACCAAACTCCGTTGATTTCTGAGTGCCTGGGGCTGCCAGGTTATGGGGTGAATCAATAGACAAATCTGTGAATGAGTGCCGGGGGGGGGGGGAAGACCTTATTGCTTATCCTCTGCAGCATCCAGTATTCGCCACATGGTTAAAATTAGCCCAGCATGGTATTAAAACAGAGCAGTAGTGCAGCCAGTGATTTTGTTTCTTTTTCTGTCGCAGACGTGTTGTATTCCAGACTGATGGCGTCGGGCACAGCGAGCCGCTCTGAAGACGAAGAGTCTCTGGCAGGGCAAAAAAGGAGTTCCTCACAAGTGTCGGGTGCCATTCCAAAACGGCGCAGCTCTTCCAGGTACCATGCTGGGTTGGGTTGGGGAGGCAACATTGGGCAGTGGTTTTCAACCAGTGTTCCGTGGCACTTTGGGGTCCCTTGAATGATATTCAGGGCAATATTGGCCTCTGTCCCTCCCTCTTTCCTTCTCTCCCTCCCTCCCTCCCTCCCTCTGATGCCCTCTCGTGTCGCTGCCTCCCAAAGGCTTGCACAGCTGTTTGTTGCAGCAGCCCTGGCTACTAGCTCCCTGGGCGAATGGTGCCTCTGGGGCTGGCCAAGGGGTGTTGGTTGCCAGGAGCTGAGGTGGACTCAGAGTAAGCAAGCAAGTGGGCGAGGGAGCCCAGCCAGCCAGTCCGCCAGTCCTTGCTGTTGGAAATGGACGGACAAATGGACGGGTCAGATTTAAGGTGCTGTTTTTGAACTTTAAAGCCCTTCACGGCCTAGGACCCTCGTACCTACGGGACCGCCTCTCCTGGTATTCCCCACGGAGAGCCTCAAGGTCCATAAATAACAACACCCTAGTGGTCCCAGGCCCTAAGGAAGTTAGATTGGCTTCAGCCAGAGCCAGGGCCTTTTCAACTCTGGCTCCGGCCTGGTGGAACGCTCTGCCTCATGAGACCAGGGCCCTGCAGGATCTGATTTCTTTCCGCAGGGCCTGTAAGACAGAGTTGTTCCGCCTGGCCTTTGGCTTGGAGCCAATTTGATTCCCTCCCTCCCTCTCTTTCTTTTTTTCTTTTCCTTCTCCTCCTGCAATGAGGCTACATTTTAATATTCCATTATTTTAATGTTGTGTTTTATTTTTGTTTTTAAGTTGTAATCATTCATCTTGTTTTTATTATTGCTTGTAAGCCGCTCTGAGCCCGGCCTTGGCTGGGGAGGGTGAGGTATAAATAAAAATTATTATTATTATTATTATTATTATTATTATTATTATTAAGTAGGAGCCTAGGCAAGCAGGCAGGCACCATGCTGGCCTTTCTTGTGCTTACAGTGTGCAAGGCCTGCCTGGGAGCTGAGTGCCCAGCTCCAAAGTCTTTCCACCAGGCTGGACTGGCGGTGCCCGCTGCTGCCATTGCTGCCTCCCAATGTAAGGTCCTGGCCTCACATTCACCTTTGGCCAGTCCCTCAGACTGCTACGGCTGGTGGCATCCTCTTCCCAGGCCCATGGGGCAGCGTGAGAAGGCACCTCTCTTTGGGGCGGAGTGGGTGGGTCAGAGATCAGGGGCTGCAGCAGCAGCTACCCAGAGGACTTCCAAGGAGAGGGGAGAGGAGAGAAGGCTGAGGGAACATTGCAGAAGGGGGCATGTTTGAAAAAGGGTGAGAGGCTGCAGCTCTGCAGGCAAGGGGTGACATTACTGGGCTCCTGAGCCCCACAGGGGTGCCGCAGAAAGAATATAGTTGGTCAAGGGAGCCACAGACTCAAAAAGGTTGAAATCCTCTGAGCTAGGGAAAAGGAGGATACCTGGTGCCTGAGCTTGGAGACTGGAGCAGCTGAGTAGAATAGAGATCATTGTGGGTTGGCTATGGTTCCCCCCACCCCCTGAAATCCAGGTGCTAAAAGGTAGATAAATAGTCTGGCTCCTTTTTCCCCTAGGGGTTTCTATGTTCTGAAGATAACTGGGAAATTCACCTGTGGGGCCACAGCATAAAACCCTAAAAGCTCTTTTAATTAGGAGGAGGAACCCAAAACAATGTGACTACAATCCTACAATACGACTCACATGAAGGGGCAACATGGCTCTAAAGAAGCTGTGCATTTTGTAAAATTTATGAATACTAAGGGCTCTGAAAATGAAATGAAGGGGTTTAAGCGATTAAGAGAAATAGATTATAAAGAGAAGGACAAAGGTTTAAAATGAATAGTTAATGATCTTGCTGAACTAATTTCTAAATCAGAATACAAGAAGAGAAGGCGGGTGGAAGTAAAGAGAATAAGGTTTTGAAAGTTATCAAAATGAAAGAGTGTTCTTTTTTATACTAAACTCTTTTTTGTATTTTTCTTTTTTTTTCCTTTTTGGGTGTTTTTCTGTTGGGATTTTTGATGTTTGCCTCCTTTTTGTGGTTTTCTTTTGGTTGTTAATTCTTTGGAAATTTCTAATAAATATTATCTTTAAAAAAAACAAAACTAAAGAAGCTGTGCATTTTACCCTATTCCTTAAGTTAAGCAGCTTCTCCTGGCCCTGTATCTGTGGGTTTTTTTAAATAGTTGTTTTTATTAAAGTATTTTCATAGTTAACAAGGGTACATACAATGTCTCTGTTCTCAATTCATCGAGTCCTTTCTACAGGTCAGTTATGTTTGGTGTGAGACTCTGCTGTTATAGACATTGTGAGGTTGCGGTGGTGAGAAAGAAGTGGGCATGATATTTTTCTTTTGCTTAGTGCACGTGCAGAGTTTTTTGTCTCAGCATTGTGAGGATAGGTTCTTTTACCTGTTTGTTTGATTTTGTTGGCAGCGTGGGAGCTTGGAGGGCCCGTAGCATGATTGGGTGCATTTAGTTGCTTGCAGTGAGTTTTCCTTGTGTAGGAGAGGGGTTGTTGCGTCAAGTTAGCTATATCAATTTGTATTCTACAGGGGGCGGGGTGCTATGTTGTTTTGTTGAGATGTGTATGTGATAAAGGGGGGAACATACTGGGGTGAAGTGATCCTCTTTTGCTGGTCCCTGTGTTAGTTTCAGTTTGTTGGTTAGCTTTTCTAGTCTGGCCCCGTGTCTGTTGAGGGATGGCTTCTGAAGTAGAGAGCCTTTTCTAGTCGTGGACAGTTTAGAACCCTGACTTCCAAATCACACAGGGAGTTTCCACAGGTGGAAAAGGTTCTCTCCTCCACTCTGTAAGTTATGCCTCAACATACGAGAAGCTAGGAGGAGCGATGCTGCCTGCAGCCCCTTTGTATTCATCTTATTTGCAAAGGGCTCATATAAATACAGTCATACCTTGGGTTACAGATGCTTCAGGTTCTGTTTTTTCAGGTTATAGGCCGCCGAAACCTGGAAGTACCGGAATGGGTTACTTCCGGGTTTCGGCGGTTGCGCAAGCGCAGAAGCACTAAACCGCGCTTTGCGCAGAAGCACCGAATCGCAACCCATGCGTGTGCAGTCGCGACACTGCGGGTTGTGAACGTGCATTCAGCACGGATCACGTTCGCAACCCAAGCGTCCACTGTAACTGCAAGTGTGGTCCTGGTGGGTTCCGAACCAAATATGCCCCATTCAGAGTTGTAACCTTATGGTCCAGGCTTTTACCATTTTTGTTTGATTTCTTTGCTCCCTGCTGCAAGGCCCATTTCCACCTGGCCTAGGAGCTGGGGCCCAGACTCACCTCGAACAGCTAAAAAAGGCTCCTGGGAGGCCGGAGGGACATTGCTGGAACAACTCTTGGCTAAAATGTGTTATAACGTTTTAAATAGTTCTAATTTTTGTTCCTATGTTTTGTTTTTGTTGGGTTGGGGTTGGTTAAATGTTTACTTGGGGTTGATGGTTATTTTAATTTGGGTATAACTGTAAACTTTATTATTATTATTACTAGTATTCTTATTATTACTATTACAATTTGTATTATTAGTTCCTACTGATTTATTGGTTTATAGTCTGTATAAGATATTCTGCTTTTTATGTTTGATGTTTGATTAGGTTTTTATATATGTTGTAAGCCGCCCAGAGTGGCTGGGGAAATCCAGCCAGATGGGCGGGATATAAATGTTGTTGTTGCTGTTCTTCTTCTTCCTCTTCCCCTTCCTCATCACTGGACTTGTAAACAAATTCCTTTAAGTGGGGAAGCCCCCCAGTCATTCTGAATCCCTTTGTGGACTTCAGCCTTCAGGAAGTTCCACTGACAACCCATATTCATATTGTTTGTAGCAGTGCTGATGAGGCCATTGGTGGAGGTAACTTGCTGCAATATAATACAGAATTTCCTCATTCTAGGTTCATCAAGCGGAAGAAGTTTGATGATGAACTGGTAGAGAGCAGCCTTGCCAAATCATCCAGCCGCGCTAAGGGCCCCAGTGGGGTGGAGCCAGGGCGCTGCTCTGGCAGTGAACCCTCTTCCAGTGAGAAGAAGAAGGTGAGTTGGGTGACATATACCTCCCTCCTTAAGAGCCACCATAGCAGATCTGTGGTCACGTTATTCAAATCTGATGCTTTTGAAATCCTTGCAAACGTTTTCATCTCAGTGCTGTCCAGTGCTCTTGCGGGTGTCTCTTAAGTAACCTTGCGATGCAATTTGTCAGCGGCCACGGCTCTCTGCTACATTTTGGCTTCATTGTGTTGCTGTGCCTGTTGTAGTCTGTATGCCAACCTCTGCTTCCGCAGGTGTCCAAATCTGTCTCTGCACCTGTCACTCCAAGCCCAGCTCCAAACCCCAGCCTCACCAAGCGGATGAAGAAGAGCAAGCAGCCCTTGCAGGTCAACAAGGATTTGGGCCGCTGGAAACCCACTGATGATTTGTTGCTGATCAACGCTGTGCTTCAGGTAGCAGAACAGGGTTAAGACATATAGATAGATGCAGATATAGGGATGCCAGGCGTTCTTAAAATCAAGATCCACAGTGGATCAGGAGCAGTATTTGATTTCAAGAAACTCGTAGTGACTGAAGTGAGGCTCCCAGGCAGTCTTCCATGTGCAGATGTTAAAATAATGACATCTGTAATGCCCTGAGCCCATTCTCTGTTGCCATATTGGCCTGGGTATGTTCCTGGGGCCTGGTGAGCTGCTGCCAGGTTGTGTAGACAGTAAGTGAGCTAGATGGACCATATAAGGCAGCTTCATATATATATATCAGCCTTTCTCAATCTGTGGGTCCCCAGATGTTGAACTATAACTCCCATCACCCCTAGCTAGCAAGGCCAGAGCTCAGGGATGATAGGAGTTGTAGTCCAACAACATCTGGGGACCCACAGGTTGAGAACCGCTGATATATATTCTCATGTGTTCTAATTCCATGCATTTTCAACATTGCTCAGTAATTACCTTTTTATTTATTTTATTTATTTATTAAATTTATATACTGCCCTTTTAAATCTCCGTCTTACCCAAAAGGGTTCTTAATGAATCATCCCTCTAGGGCAGTGATGGTCAAACTCGGCCCTCCAGCTGTTTTGGGACTACAATTCCCATCATCCCTGACCCCTGGTCCTGTTAACTAGGGATGATGGGAGTTGCAGTCCAAAAACAGCTGGAGGGCCAAGTTTGGCCATCACTGCTCTAAGCAATAGACAGGGTGAAACAGAATAATCGAGTGCCTTGTATCCCTCGACAGCCTCACCCCTGCCCATTTTAAATTTATCCTAGTGATTTGAAATGTCTTAACTTGTGATGCAATAAAGGTATTTGTATTGTGCTGCCCTATACCTGGAGGTCTCAGGGCAGTTCACAGAAAAGATCACAATATATAAAAACAAAATAAGAACAATAACCCTCTTCATCCTCCAGTGTGTACTGTTTGAAGCAGTTGAAGCCAATGGGGTTCCTTTCTGCCTTTTTCAAAATACTCTGCTTGCCCTAGGCTGGAGCATGGTTGTCCACGGAGATTTGGGCATCTCTGTGTGAGCGACTGTGATTCGTATGGTCAGGCTTCGCAGACATCTGTTACATGCAAGGAAGAGTCATTACAGTCATACCTCGGGTTACAGACGTTTTGGGTTGTGCAATTTCGGGTTGTGCACCATGCCAAACCCGGAAGTACCGGAACGGTTACTCCTGGGTTTTGGCACATGTGCAGAAGACCAAATCGCGACCCACGCATCGCGGGTTGCGAATGTGCCTCCCGCACGGATCACGTTCACAACCCAAGCGTCCACTGTATTCCCAAGAGTAATTTCTCTTTCTCTTCCTCCCTGAAGACCAATGACTTGACCTCTGTGCACCTGGGAGTGAAGTTCAGCTGCCGTTTTAATCTGCGGGAGATCCAGGAGAGGTGGTACGCTCTGCTCTATGACCCCGTGATTTCCAAGTAAGTTTTCTCCTCCACGTTTCTCAGAGTGGGAGGTATGGATGCGGGATATAAAGATAATATGGTATTAGTGACATAGTTAAAAGTCATGCAAAAATGGTTTACAGAACAAAGGTGAAGTCAGAATAACATTATGTCGAACTTAAACAACATGGAAAAATGGAGGGAAGAACAGAGGCATAATAGTTGAAATGTATAATATGAATTAAGATTTGAAAGAAGGTGAGGTATTGCTGAACAAGATTTTGTAAAAGGGAACACAGAAAAGGGAGATGTGAGGGAGTCCGGAAAGAGGATTATGAGAATAATATCTAAGAAAATGGCTTTTTTCTTTTTTATGTCTTTTTCTTTTTTGTCTTTTATGATGGGTTTTTTATTGTGTTTTGTTGTTTGAATGGTGTTTTTTCCTTTTCTATTCTGTATTGTGAAGTTTGTTTTATTGTTGAAACTTTAATAAATATCTTTTAAAAAAAAAACAGAGTGGGAGGTATGGGGATTGATCCTGTTAAAGGGTGTCTTGTCTCCCAAGGACAAACCATCTCCATTTGAGGACTAGGACTAGATCAGCTTGTGATGGGAGGGAAGACAATCCGTTATACCGGTGGAGGAACATGGTTTTCACCTAGCTCCGAAAGTTTTCATAAATGCTCTTACTTGGAAGTAAATTCTTTTGAAATGAATGGAATGGAAGGCTCTGTGTATGGACAAGGAAGTTCCTTTACTGTCCTTTCCTCTTCGTTCTTCAGCCCTACAGAGTAGGAGGAAGGATGCGATATTCTCGATTTAGTCCCCTTTAAAAATAAAATAAAGTCAGGCTTCTTGATGAGATGGCACTGAAAGATGGAATCTCAGCACTGTTTGTTTCCAAACAGCTGCTGAGAGCAGAGCTGATTTCACTGGGAAGCCTTTGTTCTCTGCTTCCTCAGTGCCTGAAAGTGAATTGCCTCTTTGGCATATCCAAACCTCACCTAAGAAGGCAATTTTGCTTGTGTTTCTGGGGTTAAGGCATTTATGAAGCTTATTCGAAGTTTTAAGAGTGTTTACCCCTAATAAAAGTGGGTTTTGATTGCACAAATGAGACTCCCTATGGGTCCATCTTGCAATTTGTGAGGATAGAAAACCAACTACACACCCCTGTTTATATTTTCCTTTTCTTTTTTAAGTTTTATATTTTCTTGGGTGAATGCCACTGGTTGCTGTTTGGTGTTGGGCGACTGATCCCATTTTATTCTCCTTTCCCCTTCCTCCACCAGGCTGTCTTGCCAGGCCATGCGACAGCTGCATCCGGAAGCCATAGCCTCTATGCAGAGTAAAGTGCTTTTCAGCAAAGCAGAGGAGCAGCTACTAAGCAAAGTGGGATCGGTAAGGATCGAGAACGGGCTACTTCAACTGTAGCCCTGGTTACCTTAGAGCAGGGGTCAGCAGACTTTTTCAGCAGGGGGCCGGTCCACTGTCCTTCAGACCTTGTGGGGGCCGGACTATATTTTGGGGGCGGGGAATGAACAAATTCCTATGCCCCACAAATAACCCAGAGATGCATTTTAAATAAAAGCCCACATTCTACTCATGTAAAAACACGCTGATTCCAGGACTGTCCGCGGGCCGGATTGAGAAGGCGATTGGGCCGGATCCAGCCCCCAGACCTTAGTTTGCCTACCCATGCTTTAGAGCAGCGGTTCTCAACTTGTGGGTCCCCAGATGTTGTTGGACTACAACTCCCATCATCCCTGAGCTCTGGCCTTGCTAGCTAGGGGTGATGGGAGTTGTAGTTCAGCAGCATCTGGGGACCCACAGGTTGAGAAAGGCTGCCTTAGAGGAAAGCAAGGCAGGGTTCAGAGTAGCTCCTTTTCTCCCTGATGATTTTTGGTAGAGTTTTGCCGTGCCCTGTATAGCAAGTGGCTTGCTTGATATAACAGCCACCCTGGCATCTACAAACCTTTTCTTCTTTATGCGTGTAAATATTTGTGTGTGTGTGTGTGTGATTGTAATATCTTGTATCTTGTTTCTAAGCATTGTCCTTCTGTACCCAAAATGACACCACTTCCTCATGAAAGAGGGCTGTCAGCAGGTTTGGGGGAAACCCTGAGGTTTGCAGAAATGGTCGTAATCATTAGAAAAATGAGCCTGAAGAGAGGGAGATAACCAGAAACGAGGGCGCAGAATGCCCTGTCTCTGTAACTGGGGTGGGGGATGCTGCAAAAAGACCAAGGGACGAAGGATAATGGAATAGAGTTCTCAAAGGGCATTCACTGCCTAAGCTGGAAGCCCAAACAGAAACATTCCACGCAGCAACAATTTCTTGAAGGCCTCCCTTGTATAATTTTGAGATGATTGAATGGCTACACAAAGTTTGCAGCCTGTAAATTTCATTCTCCTCTTTCTAGAAAACTTGACAGTTCTTTCCTTCTCTCTCTAATTTTTATTAGATTTTCTGTTTTACAATTTTAAAGTACTCATTTTTACATCCTTAAAATATCAGTGACTTCCTTTCTTCTCTTTTCCATGGTTCATTTTACATATCATAAATCTCTGCATATTTTACAAACACTATACCATTCAGGATTCCATTATTACATCCATCAGAACTTATTTACACTGTTGAATTTATCTTAATGCTGCCAGCATTTTCAGCTGTACACAGTTATTTCCCTATATATGCAATAAACGTTTTCCAATCTTCTCTAAACGTATGTTCTTCTTGTTCTCTATGTTAAGTCTTCAAGCTGCACATATTCTTGACAGTTGACTTTTAACTTGATGGGCTTAACTAGAGTTAAAATCTCTATTCGTGGAAAATTAATGTGAGAAGCAGCCTTTGGCGGAGGTTCTTTTCTTCCTGCTTGAGCCTCCTTTCTCTTATTCCTAGACCAGCCAACCCACCCTGGACACCTTCCAGGACCTCCTGCACAAGCACCCCGAGGTTTTCTACCCTTCCCGCACTGCCAAGGTCCTACAGACGCATTGGCAACTCATGAAGCAGTACTACCTCTTGGATGATCAAACAGGTATGGCCAGCTAATCTGTTGCCAGGTAAAGTTTGGAACCTGCGGCTTGTGCCAAGATTCTGAACCGACCTTTGCCCTCTCTGGTCTCTTCCAGTGCAGCCACTGCCCAAAGGAGACCAGGTGCTCAACTTCTCCGATGCCGAAGACATGATAGATGACAGCAAACTAAAGTAAGTGAAAGGGTGTGGCTAAGGCCAGCTGCATTCCCTCTGTTCATTAGAAACACTCTGCCATCTGTATTCCTGTATTCCCTGTGGAACGCCCTCCCTTCAGATGTGAAGGAAATAAGCAGCTATCTGCTTTTTAAAAGACATCTGAAGGCAGCCCTGTTTAGGGAAGTTTTTAATATTTCATGCTTTATTGTTTTTTATACTTGATTGGAAGCCGCCCAGAGTGGCTGGGGAAACTCAGCCAGATGGGTGGGGTATAAATAACAAATTTATTATTATGATTATAATAATAATTATTATTATTATTATTATTATTATGTGAAAGGGGTGCGGCTAAGGCCAGTTGCGTTCCCTCTGTTCATTAGAAACACTCTGCCATCAGTATTCCTGGCCTACGCTTGTCTGGCTTAGTGGCTGGAGAACCTTTGGTTCCAGCCTGGACATATGTTAGCCTAAGGGTTAGTTAAACTCACATCCAGTCCACGCTTGAATAGGAATCTATCTTCATTTTTTTATTTACAACGTGAACACAATTTGAATAGCGGCAGCTAGACTGGTGACTGGGAGCGGCCACCGAGACCATATAACACCGGACCTACATTGGCTCCCAGTACGTTTCCAAGCACAATTCAAAGTGTTGGTGCTGACCTTTAAAACCTTAAACGGCCTCGGCCCAGTATACCTGAAGGAACATCTCCACCCCCATCGTTCAGCCCAGACACTGAGGTCCAGCTCCAAAGGCCTTCTGGCGGTTCCCTCACTGCAAGAAGTGAGGTTGCAGGGAACCAGGCAGAGGGCCTTCTCAGTAGTGGCACCCTCCCTGTGGAACGCCCTCCTTTCAGATGTCAAGGAAATAACAACTATCTGACTTTTAGAATCTGAAGAAGTGTGCATGCACATGAAAGCTTATACCCAGAACGAACTTAGTTGGTCTCTAAGGTGCTATTGGACACTATTTTTTATTTTTTTTAAATATATTTTGACTTTTAGAAGACATCTGAAGGCAGTCCTGTATCAGGAAGTTTTTAATGTGTGATGTTTTATTGTGTTTTTAATATTCTGTTGGGCGCCGCCCAAAGTGGTTGGGGAAACCCAGCCAGATGGGCAGGGTATAAATAATAAATTCTTATTATAGCAAACAACTTGTAAATGCAGATGATCAGATAGGAGGGGGTTGGATCTGCCTGAGATTAAATTGCTGGCCCTTGAGGCTGCAACACAAAGTGACCGAGAAGAAGGACAGAGAGAGGGTTTTTTTTTCTAAGCGAGTTGGTCTAAACCAGATTAGGTAGATGTTCAATGTGGGAGCAATTAATTGATGCATTCTAACTGATCCTAAGGCTTGATCAGATCGACACTGGGAAAACGAAAGCATTTCTAGATAGGGAGACTAGGGGGCAATATAACATATAACACGGTGCCCAGTTGGCACACATCATCCTTAAAGCTTAAAATCCAAGACAAGTCGCTGCTGCTGTCATTGTCCAGATGAGGACACAGTGTGACTTAATGCCTGAGGCCACCTGTTTGAGAGAGCAGGTGTGGGGCCTTTCAGACCTAGGGTAATACTAGTTAATGAGTGGAGTCCATGGTGAGTTTTGTTTCTCCTCATTTTTCATCTAGCAGTCTGGCTCCTGCTGTGCTGCAGTTTTGAGCATTACTGTGCTTCTCTCAACATGCACATGGTAGAGCCCTAATCCAGCGAACACAAGCTAGTGTTTTTTTGAGAAAATATATATATTATCTGTGGCCCAGGCACTGGAGTTGTGATCAGTTACCAATTCAAGATCTAACATCTCTCTCCCTCTCCCTCCCTCCTCTCTCCTGTAGGGATGTCCGAGACGAGGTGTTGGAGCATGGTGAGTTGGGTGCTGTTTGTTGCAAGAGGTGGAGCAAAAATAACGCTCTTCAAATGACTCCGTCTCCATAAAACTCTGTGTGATTCTGGTTGGTGTTATCCCTGTGAGCCAGCTCTTGGGCGAAAATGAAAAAAACTCCGATCTGTAAAATCGGAATCACTTGTAATATGTGTTAGAATCCCTATTGGGCAGCTATGGGCAGGTAGCAGGACTGAGCCTCACGTATTCTATATGTAAGGAAACCGCCCCTTCATTGTGGAGGCCCACTCTCTCAACATGGATTGGGTGCTTGCAGAGAGAGGAGCTAAGCTTTCTCCTCACCCCGCCTCCTCAGTCTTGCCTTAATGGTCGCAGGCCGGATCTACACTCATGGTTTATAATGGTAAAAAACGCGTTAAAAACACCAGAGGGCGCTGCAGAGCAGCGAGCCACCAGCAAAGGGAAACTGCATTAAGCGTTATAGAATGTTAAATCTGAAAAGCTTTAGAAGAACAATGTAGATCCAACCCTAGACAGAAGCGAGCTTTACCTGCAGTGGAATAATTTATCCAGCCCCAAGACCACTTCTCTCTCTTTCTCTCTCTCCTGGTTTTTCACGATTATTTATTTAAAGTTACTTTTGTTTTTCTTTCAAAAATCTGTTCCTCATGCTTGTGGCCTTTCTCCTCGCAGAACTGACAGTGGCAGACCGGAGACAGAAGCGTGAAATCCGGCAACTGGAGCAAGAGCTCCACAAGTGGCAGGTGCTGGTGGACAGCATAACAGGTGAGAGAAGAGCCACACTATGTCTCTTCTCACGGGTGAGAAACCCCATCTCCTAGTGTTGCGGCACTTGTTCCCCCGGGACTTCCAGCTAACATTAGGCAAGCACATTTGTTTATTGCTTTTGACGTCTGCTAAGAGCAGCTTCATGTTCCTATGTGCATTTGTTTTTGTTAAAGCTTTTTTGCCTCCATTTTCATAGTTTTATTTATATACTGTTTTACTCTAAGAAACCTCAACACAGTTTACAATGTTGTATTCTATAATAATAATAATAATATTGCCTACTGTTTTTAAAGGGACGTGGGTGGCGCTGTGGGTTAAACCACAGAGCCTAGGACTTGCCAATCAGAAGGTCGGCGGTTCGAATCCCCGTGACGGGGTGAGCTCCCGTTGCTTGGTCCCTGCTCCTGCCAACCTAGCAGTTCGAAAGCATGTCAAAGTGCAAGTAGATAAATAAGTACCGCTCCGGCGGGAAGGTAAACGGCGTTTCTGTGCGCTCCTCTGGTTTCTCCAGAAGCGGCTTAGTCATGCTGGCCACATGACCTGGAAGCTGTACGCCGGCTCCCTTGGCCAATAAAGCGAGATGAGCGCTGCAACCCCTGAGTCGGCCACGAGTGGACCTAATGGTCAGGGGTCCCTTTACCTTTACCTTTTACTGTTTTTAAAGTCTGCTGTTACTGCTATTTTTGAGCGAATACTTCATAGAGGTTGATTTTTTTATTCAGTAATATATAAATTTTCCTTGAATAAACATGGAACGCCCTCCCATCAGATGTCAAGGAAATAAACTTCTGCCTGACTTTTAGAAGATGTCTGAAAGCAGCCCTTTACAAGGGAGGTTTTTTTAGTGTTTGATATTTCATATTTTGTTGGAAGCTGTCCAGAGTGGCTGGCAAATCAACAACAACAACAACAATTGCTATTACTATTAAATAAAGGGCTCCTTTGGTGAGAGCAACTGAGTGAGAGTCCTGGAGACACAACCCACCTTTCCTTGCCCAGCATGCTTTGGTTACCACGGTGTCTAATCCTTCCTTTTCTTTCTCCCAGGAATGAGTTCTCCTGATTTTGATAACCAAACATTGGCTGTGCTGCGTGGAAGAATGGTGCGTTATCTCATGCGCTCCCGGGAGGTGAGTCCAGTCTGTCGTTTGGCTGCTTAGATTGAGAAAGTGCAGAACTTTTTCAAAGTAGGAGAGAGAGAGCAAGTTGCATATGGTTCTGTCAGTAACAGAGCCAACAGTAACGGAACAGAACATCAGTGTCTGGCCCTAATTTTAAAACGTGGGTGGGTGGGTGGCACTTTGGTCTAAACCACTGAGCCTCTTGGGCTTGCCGATCGGAAGGTTGGGGGTTCGAATCCCTGCAACGGAGTGAGCACCTGTTGCTCTGTCCCAGCTCCTGCCAACCTAGCAGTTTGAAAGCACACCAGCGCAAGTAGATAAATAGGTACCGCTGTGGCGGGAAGGTAAATGGTGTTTCTGTGCGCTCTGGTTTCTGTCATGTTTTACGTTGCTCCAGAAGCAGTTTAGTCATGCTGGCTGCATGACCTGGAAAGCTGTCTGCGGACAAACGCTGGCTCCTTCGGCCTGAAATGAGATGAGTGCCACAACCCCATAGTCACCTTTGACTGGACGTAACCGTCCAGGGCTCCTTTACCTTTTACCAATATATATAAATTTGTAGCCTCTACAGAATTCCCAACTATATTCTAAGCCAAAAATAACAGTTGTAGGGGTGTTTGTGTGTGTATTTACATTCAAGAGTTGGAGAACTCCTTTTCACAAGTAAGAAGTATATTCGGTATGATTCTACTTCTAAGGAGCTCTATTTTCCTCTTCTGCTATGGTGCAACTTTATCTGTAATGTGGAATCTGGAATCAGCCTCCCAAGAGATTGCAGGCTTTTACCAACAGCAGCTTCAATATCCATGTCAGAATGCAACGCACAAATTCAGCTGGTTGAAGCCAAATAAGAAAACGCAGTGAGCCAGAATCAGTTAATGAAGCCCACACAGGAACTTCGGCTAGCGCAATGGGGCTTCCACTGCTCACCCCTAAATTGGTTCTGAGGGGGTCAGGAGAGCCCCCATAACAGCATGCAAAGGAAGGAGAGAGGGGGTTGTTCTGTTTGACAAGGAAGGTAAAATGCTTGCGCTGATGGAACGATTGCCATAGCTGTGTCGATTTGGCTAATTAATTTTGATGGCTGTGGATTGCAATTTCCTTGGAGCAAAATGCTGGTCCCCTTGACACACAATGAACGTTTCTGTTCCTTTCCTCTTCCAGATCACACTTGGCAGAGCCACCAAAGACAATCAGATTGATGTGGACCTAGCGCTTGAGGGGCCAGCCTGGAAAATATCCCGCAAGCAAGGTGCTTGAGATTGGGCTACTGCCTTTGAGTTGCTCGGGGAGAAGGACTTTGTAGGACAAGGGGTGTGAAACTGTGGTAGGATAGAAAGGGAAGGCAGCCCTTTGAGTGCCTGCATAGGGCTGATAAGTTACGCCTCAGTGTTTAATTTCTCTCCATGGTTCCTGGTGTGAATGCCATGTGATATCAAGGTGCCTTTGGGTGTTTTGCTGTGTCAGAAATTGCAGGCGAGGCAGTTGCTGTTCCTTGCCCTAAATCAGGAATTGGTAACTGAAGGCCACATGAGGACTTCCAAGACATTAGATGGAAATATGTGGACTTTTTAACTATACCTGAAGGAGCGTCTCCACCCCCATCGTTCAGCCTGGACACTGAGGTCTAGCTCCGAGGGCTTTTTGGCGGTTCCCTCACTGTGAGAAGTGAGGTTACAGGGAACCAGGCAGAGGGCCTTCTCGGTAGTGGCACCCACCCTGTGGAATGTCCTCCCATCAGATGTCAAGGAAGTAAACAACTACAGTCATACCTTGGGTTACAGACGCTTCAGGTTGCGTGTTTTCGGGTTGCACACCCCACCGAACCCAGAAGTACCAAAATGGGTTACTTCTGGGTTTCGGCACATGCGCAGAAACACTGAATAACAACCCGCGTGTGTGCAGACATGGTGCTGCGGGTTGCGAACGCTGCGGGTTGTGAATGCTGCGGGTTGCGAACGTGCCTTCCGCACAGATCACGTTCATAACCCAAGCGTCCACTGTATCCGACTTATAGAAGACATCTGAAGGCTTCCCTGTTTAGGGAAGTTTTTAATGTTTGATGTTTTATTGTGTTTTTAATATTCTGTTAAGAGCCACACAGAGTAGCTGGGGAAACCCAGCGAGATGGGTGGGGTTATAAATAATAAATTATTATTATAGCAAACAACTTGTAAATGCAAAAGGTAGAAGGGGGTTGGATCTGCCTGAGATTAAATTGCTGGCCCTTGAGGCTGCAACACAAAGTGACTAATAATAATTAATATAATATAATTAATATAATATCATATAATAATATTGGTGTTTAAAAAGGCCCAATTAGGAAAGTCCAAATTCAGTGACATTTCCCAGTTTGCACATTTTAAAATAGCCTTGGAAAAATTGACCTGAGCTGCTCACTTTTGAGAGCCAAAATTTCCAATAAGGTTATTGCAGATTCAGGGTCTCGAACCTGCTACAAAACACACAGTTTCAATTACCCTCGACTTACGAGGCATTCTCTGCAAGCAGTTGTAGCCAGTTTTCTTCCTTCTGCTTGGAAAGTCTAACTTCTCATCTCTCCATGCGCACACACAGGTGTCATCAAACTGAAGAACAATGGCGACTTTTTCCTGGCAAATGAAGGCCGGCGGCCCATTTATGTGGATGGGCGCCCAGTGCTTTGTGGCAGCAAATGGAAGCTCAGCAACAACTCTGTGGTGGAGGTGAGCTGTTGGAGGTGGGCAGGGTGGAGGGCTGTGCTGCTTTGTGGTGAAAGGTTTCACAGTCTTCTTGGTTGGTGGTTCCATAACAAGATGATGCCAGTATCCAGAGCAGCTGAGCCCAGCCCTAAATCCATGGGATGCTAGACTCCTTTGCCTGCATCCAGCTGTTGTGAATTTTGATTCCGCACAGAACCAGCAAACATAATAAATAAAAAGTGCTGCGGTGTAGTTTCTTCAGCTGCTGTCAGCCAAGAGCCTGGTGCTAGCTGGAAGGTAGACAACTTCCTTGAGGTTGGTTTATTACCTGTCCAGAGAGCCTCCGGTTTGGGAGGACATAGTTTCTTGCAGCAGCCAATTTGGCCTCTCAGTGAGGTGGGCTAGGCTATAAAACACAGCTTTCCAAAGTGTGTGTTGCGGCACATTAGCGTGTCGGCTGCTAGAAAAACTGAATTCCTTGTGTCGTGAAATGATGCACGTCTAAAAAGTGTATCACCAACACGACAAGTTTTGAAAGCTCTGCTGTAAAAGATGCAGCGCTTTCACTTCTTCCCTTCCGCCCCCCCACCCCACCCAGACTGACAGCCTTTCTCTTTCTCCCTAGATCGCAAGCTTGCGCTTTGTCTTCCTCATCAACCAAGACCTGATTGCGCTTATTAAGGCAGAGGCTGCCAAAATTGCCCAGCCCTGAGGCTTGGATCAAACCCAAGGCTCCACTGGACCTGTGTGTGGCTGCCGACCCCCTGCCCCGGACTCCTTTTGCCAGCAGGGACCACCATGCTTAATGATGAAGATGCAGCTATATAAAGCCTGCCCTCCCTTAGGCTAGGACTGAAACTTCTTGGGGGCCTTTTCCTTTGCGGCTGAGGAGGAGGACGAGCTCTGCTTCATCAGTCAGCGGATCTCTCTGTAAAAGAAAGGTATGAGCCAGGCCTTAAACCAGCACCTTGTTTGGGTGTTCTTGGCAGTGTGGGGCATTTGCTGGCGAGGGTTGTGCGGCTGTTGCGCTGGATACTCTTTGGGACGGAGTGACGAAAACCACCGTGGAGGATTAAGGGCCAGGGAGTAAGTGTCAAACGAGCTAATAAATAGTTGCAAATCTCACTACTCTGTGTTGTGCTGGTGGCCTGCTTCTTTGTACACAACCACCTTTTCAGCTCTCACCAAATAGATTCTCACGTTTGGGGCGGAGGGAGGAACATGTTTTTGAAGCAGTCATGCAATGATTGAGGTCTGTCAGTTGATACTATGCTCTCTTTACATTATTCTGCAGCAGTAGTGATTAATGTTTTGCCTTGCCTGTCTCTCTCTGCAGTGTAGTCTAGAGTTTAATTTTCATAAAGTTATTAAAGGAAGAGTGGAATAGCTGGTTTGCCTAACTATGTTTGGTCACATAAGATTCTGAAGGGTACTGTGACAATTGTCAAGAATGATTTCTGTTTAAAAAGCAGTGGCGAAATCAGATCACGCCTAGTGTTTATAATGCAGGCTATAATTTTGCCACCTGCTGCTTTCACTGAAGTTTCCAGTGTGGTGTTTAGAGTTGGCTTTGGTCATGAGAGGAAACCCAGGTTTGTATTCTCTGATGCTGCCAATCTTTTGGCAAACATCCTTTAGGTATCAGTTGTGCTAATTATGTTTTGTTGTTCTGTGTAGCTTCTGCAGACAGAATTAGGGGCTCCTCTTGAGATGTGTAAGATGTGGTTCTTTCAGTATTGTAGAAGAGTCAGTGCATGGTGTGAATGTCTTTTGAACTACGAGGGTTTAATATTAGACCTGGGCGGTGTCAGGTTTTCAGCACTGCAATCTGGTGATAACACTGCAATAGGCAGTTTCACCCTGGTACCAGGGATGATGAAGATTGTTCCCAATGCTAGGGGCAGAGAGAGTGTTTCTCCCCAACATACGGAGTGAACAGGCTGCCTGATACAGGTTTCTCGCTGGAGCTTCCTTGTGCTGCTCACCTGTGGGGTGCAAAGTCTCCTGCCCCCAGCTGAGTGAGCCCCGATGCCTCTCTGGCTCGTGTGCAATGCATTGTGGCTCGCTCAGCTGGCGAGTGGGAACAGTTTAATGCAGCCCCCACTCTGGCTCGTATGTTGGGGGGGCTTCTTTAAACTGCTCCACTGAGGAGCATGTGGCTTCCTATGCCTCTGTGGAGCAGTTCAAAGACGACAAGGGAGGAACAAGCTGTATCGGCCCTAGCGATGCAGCCAGCTCCTCCTCCTGTGGTATGATGGGCAGAGCACAATGGCAGCTTGACCCGACAGTATTCATTATTTTATTACAGTCGTACCTTGGAAGTCGAATGGAATCCGTTCCAGAAGTCAGTGCGGCTTCTGATTGGCTGCTGGAAGCTCCTGCAGCCAATCGGAAGCCCTGTCAGAGTTCAGGTTCCAAGGAACGTTCGCAAACCGGAACACTCACTTCCAGGTTTGCGGCGTTTGGGAGCCAAAACGTCCAAATACCAAGGCGTTCGGGATCCAAGGTACAACTGTATACCCCACCCACCTGACTCGGTTTCCCAAGCCCCTCTGGGCGGATTGCAGTATCTCGCTGGTGGAACTGCTGCTGCTACCAGTGGCCTGATGTTGAAAGCAGCACTGGGGGCAGAGAGACACGGGAGCGGCGTTGGTTTCACCCACGATATACTGCTGGGTGAAGCTGCCGTTGCGCTCTGCCCCTGGGTGATGTATCGATACATCGGCCAGGCCTAGTTAACATGCCACTTGTTCACTTTATCTCATTCACTAGGGGACCCCCCACTCACTCCTCCCTTGGTGTTGAGGACAATAAACCCCAAGCAAGAGTAATTAGCTAGTAAACCATGAGGTCAGAGTCCAAAACGTACCTTTATTTTATAAAACGAGTGCCCACTTTAGCCCAGCTCCAGTGCTGCCGATGGCTAGGGAAATCCTCTGCCCTCCCACCAGAGGAACAGCATGCACAGTGGGATTCACTCTTATCTCCCCCACCATCCCATGGCTAACAAAGTGCCAGAAGGAAGAAGAGAGGCTAAAACTGGGGTGGGTGTGTACATATATATATATAGAGAGAGTTGCATATTTCAAGCATCTGAGTTTGAAATGGATGTATTTCCCCGATCCAGACAGGATAGGTCCAGCTTATGTGTCTTGCTTTTGCGCCAGCTTGCTGCAGAGAATTCCTAAGCTTGCGTTCCGGTTCGTTCTTCCCGTCCCTGTGTTGATAGCTGCTGCAGCCCTGTCTTAAACTGCCGTATGGGGGCTTTTCAGCTCCTTTCCTCTCTCGCCCAAGCAAGTTAGCACCCAGTGTTGCAAGACACAGCCCCCCCCCAATGTTTCCAAAAGCAGACTCACAGGCCCGTGCCTTCCTCCTCCGGCCAGCAGGGGGCGCCGCACACAGACCCATCATCCCCAGTACCAATCAGCACCATCTCAAGGCTTAAGGAATCGCAGGCTTGAGTCCTGGAAGTTTTGGTTTCCGTGAGGCCCGTAGGGTCTGTGGGGGAGCAAGCTCGGGAAAGGGAGCTCTCTCTTTGGAGCTGGCTTGGCAGCTGTGCGTTGCTTCCCTGGTCCTTGGATCTGGGCCCCGCCGGCGAAATGGGCACCGTCTCGGAGTCCTTGCCCGGCCCCCGTGCCCAGTACATGCCTGGCCAGGGCGAGCTCTGTCCGGCCGGCGGTGCCCACATCCACTGTACCCTGCCACAGGCACCATTAGGACAGGGGGCGGGCGGGACGCTGTGGGGGCAGAAGGCGGGCGGGAGTCCTGTGTCTACTCGGAGCGGACTTAGCAGAGGGGTGGCAGGAGTAGCATCTGCATGAGGAAAGGGCGCGTAGGCGGAAGGGTCGGCCCGCGAGTGCGTCGGCGTCTGGGAGAGAAGGAAGAGCTGCACGGCCTGGCGAAGGGAGTGCAGGCCTTCGCGCATTTGCTGAACCTGCCCGGAGAGCTCGGCCACCTGGGAAGCGAGACAAAGAGAAACCGGGTGAGTATTAGCAGCCTCTGTTTGCTTATATTCTTCTCTTGGGCGCAATAGCAACCTGGAAGTGGGGTAGGGCTTGGGCCATACAGTCGTACCTCGGAAGTCGAACGGAAGCTCCTGCAGCCAATCGGAAGCCCCATCGGACATTCGGGTTCCAAAGAACATTCGCAAACCGGAACACTCACTTCCGGGTTCGCGGCGTTCGGAAGCCAAGGTCTGACTGTATCTGGTTTTCATCATTGTGATACATCAGCAGCTAAATACTGCGATACATTCCGATATATTGGTGTATCTTGGCTGCTTCTTCCTCCCAACCTTATGGAGGAAGCGCCCATACGTCTCCTAGTGGGCACACAGTTTCCTTACTCCTGATTCCAGGAGGAAATACATAGCCCACCCTCCTGCCTGAAGGCAGCCACTGTGCCAAGTGCACAGAGCCTGTCCATTTTCACATGGGTGGGCTACCTCTTTCTCCCAGGAGGCCTGCCCATGTGAAGGCAAATGAGGCCATTGTGCCAGCTGGAGGAGGGGGGCTTGAACAGCTGATAAGCAGGCTTGCTTAAACTGCCCGCTTCTCAGATGATCAAGCCCCCACCTCGCAGGTTAAACTGCTCCACTGAGAGAAGCGCTTTGACGAAGCTGCCTGCCAGCTGCTTCTGAGTCTCTCTGGCACCAGAGGAGCATCTGCTGTTTCACCCGTGATATACTACTGGTAGCCTGGGCGATATATCCGAACTTCAGAATGGAAAGCGTAATGCTGGTGGTCAACAAAAGGTTTAAAGACTCTCTCAAGGCAAATTTTTAAAAATGTAGTACAGTGGTACCTCGGGTTATAGACGCTTCAGGTTACAGACTCCGTTAACCCAGAAATAGTACCTCGGGTTGAGAACTTTGCTTCAGGATGAGAACAGAAATCGTGTGGCGGCAGCGGGAGGCCCCATTAGCTAAAGTGGTACCTCAGGTTAAGAACAGACCTCCAAAACGAATTAAGTTCTTAACCCGAGGTACCACTGTATGAACACCAACAATTGGGAAACACTGGCGTACAAGCGCTCCAGATGGAGAACAGCTTTTTCCAAAGGTGTCATGGGCTTTGAAGACACTCAAACTCAGGACGAAAGGGAGAAACGTGCTAAGAGGAAGGCAAGTTTGGTAAACCCTCACTGTGATCAACTCCTGCCTGGAAACCAATGTCCGTACTATGGAAGGACGTGTGGATCCAGAATTGGCCTCCACAGTCACTTACGGACTCACTTTTAAAACCATGTTCATGGAAGACAATCTTACTGAGCTACGAGTGATCGCCAAAGAAGAATATCGCCCAGGACCAGTATGGGAGGGGAGACTGCAATGACAGCTTCACTCAGCAGTATATCACTGGCGAGAAAACCCCATCGCACTCTGCCCTGTAGAGGGAGAAGCAATCTGTATCAGCGAGGTGCCAATACAGCTTGTTCCTCTCTCCTCTTTAAACTGCTTGGCTGAGGAGCACACTGCTGCCCTCACCTCAGCCAATTTTACGGAGCGCATGGCAAGGAAGGGGGCTCTGTTAAAGTGCTCCCCTAGCTGAGACTCCCGACCCTGCTTGCACGTGAGTAGGAGCAGAGCTACCGCCTGGCTGCCTTTGCCAAGGTGGGTGTGCTGCGCCTTTCCTCCCAGAAAGACAGAGCCCATCCTGCCAGTGGAAGGCAGCCAGGCAGTGTAGGGGCTGGTTGATGCTGCTGGCAGGTCCAGTGCTTGCCAGCAGCCCCTCTCCGCAAGGTCAGATAGGGTGGCTTTGCCTTGTAGACTTTGCCTGGGAGGGTGGGCTGCGTCTTTCCTCCTGGGGTGAAGGACACCCGCTCCCCCCAGATGAAAGAGGCAGTGCACCCGTACAGGCGAAGGCAGTCAAACGCACAGAACCTGACAGACTCCCACCGCTTGGTCCGTCTTCGGGGAGTGGGGGGCAAGCAGGCAAGGTAGCTCACCCGCTCCCTACAAGCGTTGGGGGGCTTGGGGCAGGAGCTCTTCCATCCCCCAGCTGAGCAGCAGCCTGGGGCCAGCTGTATTGGCCGCAGCCCATGAGGCCCTGAAGTATCCCTAACCTTCGGCCCTCCAGATGTTTTGGACTACAATTCCCATCATCCCTGACCACTGGTCCTGTTAAGCT